TTCTTTAAAATGTCGCGTTTACGAAAAAATCAGGTGAGACGAGTGGTCTGGGACACCCTGTATATTCCCAAACAGCACATAAACGTTCAAGGAACGTTCGCTTTACGTTTACTTGGTTTGGTTACGAGGGCAGTCCGATAAATACTTAACCTACAAAAGAAAAACGAAAATTTTGGAAAAGTGGCGATTTATTTCTCAACATAGTCTCCTTTTAGCTCGATACACTTGACCCAGCGATGCTCCAACTTCTTTAACCCATCTGAAAAATACGTTTTCTCGAAGTCTGCAAAGTAGGCCTCCGTGGCGGCGATGACCTCCTCATTCGNTGGCGATTTATTTCTCAACATAGTCTCCTTTTAGCTCGATACACTTGACCCAGCGATGCTCCAACTTCTTTAACCCATCTGAAAAATACGTTTTCTCGAAGTCTGCAAAGTAGGCCTCCGTGGCGGCGATAACCTCATCATTCGGCCAAATTGGTCGAATTGGACTACGAACTGCTGTCCCATCCACCGTATTCTGCAGATTTGGCCCTGTGCGACTTTTTTTTGTTTCAAAACTTGAAAAAGTCACTCGCCGGGCAGAAATTTGAGTCGAATGAGGTCATCGCCGCCACGGAGGCCTACTTTGCAGACTTCGAGAAAACGTATTTTTCAGATGGGTTAAAGAAGTTGGAGCATCGCTGGGTCAAGTGTATCGAGCTAAAAGGAGACTATGTTGAGAAATAAATCGCCACTTTTCCAAAATTTTCGTTTTTCTTTTGTAGGCTAAGTACTTATCGGACTGCCCTCGTATATTCAAATAAAGTGGGAAAGTTCGAAAAACATACGTTTTAGAATCTTTAATATATATCTTATGTAGAAAAAGTGTCGCAGTATCACAATTATGCTGCTCTGTTACAATCCAATTTTTTAATTAAAATATATACATTTAGAAGTTTGATTATGTCTATTTGTAACAAATTAAAAAAATATATTAATTGTTACAAGATATTAATATATTAATAAATTACCAGATATTAATATATTAATGTATTAACCACATTAATATATTAATATATTAACAACATTAATATGTAACAGAGCAGCATAATTGTGATACTGCGACACTTTTGCTACGTAGGATATATATTTAAGGTTCTAAAACATATGTCCTTCGAACGTTCCCACTTTGATTGAATATAACCAAACCAAGTGAACGTAAAGCAACGTTCCTAGAACGTTTACGTGCTGCTGGGTTGTCCAGTTGTCATTTCAATTTGTAGTTGTCCAGTTGTAATTTCAACTTTGTCCATTTGTCGAGGAAAAACAAGAAACACACTCGGTTACAGTTAGTGTCATATTTATTTATTATTAATATTGCATTAATATTTTTATTTATTTATTAGTTAAAAATTGTTATACAATTGTCGTACCGTTCTTGCAGAAATTTATTATTGATAAGATAGTGATTAATTACTCATTTTGAATATTTAAAACACTGTTGTTAGTAATTCGTATTGATTAAATTATAGAGTTTATGATGACTCTAAATATTTCAGTGCTTAGAATTGCAATTATTAATATTGAGAGAGCAATGGTAGTATAGTAGATATTGAACATACGTCAAGCAAATGTTCTAATAATAGAAAGTTTAGAATGCTGGCTGCTAATTAAAATGATTCAGGTTTGAAACTGCCCTGTATTTTTTTACCCATCAGTGTAGTCAATTCATTAAATTTTACTAAATTTGAATTTAGCTTTATACGGATTGGCTGGATTCAATTAAATCTCAATCAGCACTAATAGCTTCCCGAACATATTTTCAGCAAGCATGCCTTTCTACGTTGTTTGATTTCTATGGCGGTCTCGAACTTTTATAAAGTATTCCCGCCAAATGCAGTCTCGCTAAATTCGGTGGTTCGCTTTATGACATCGAATTTGTATTACAATAATTGGAAGGGGAACGCCGACTAGTGTCAACTATAGCATCGTGATTTTTGTAATATAAAAAGAGGATTAGCAAAAACATACATAACATAACATAAACAATGGTAAAGTTAAAAATTTTAATATATGTACATATATGTGTATTGATATGCATATGGATGACACATTTTTTATTAGACATTTATATATTTATATTTAGAATTGCAATGATTAATATTGAGAGAGCAATAGTCGTATAATAGATAGTGAACATATGTCAAGCAAATGTTTTAATAATAGAATTTACTAAAGGACATGTCTATATTTTTTTATACTTATTGTTCAGTGTGGTAATATATTATATATATTTATATATTTATACTTAAGAAAAATACACGTGTGTAACATTAATTTTATCATGCATATTACAAGAGTCAACAAAGCTCTCCTGTACGTTCTGAACGAAATGCAGAGGCACTGACTTCTCCTGCACCTGATATTGATGAACCATTTGAAGATGAATCTGATTTACTTAGTGGAGAAAATGAAGGCAATAATGAGGAAGAAGAAGGAGAAGAATTATTTGGGGATAATATGGAAGCGTAAAGATTTAATATATTTTTAATATATCCTCTATTCTATATAATATGTATATGTGTGTGTGTGTGTGTGTGTGTGTGTGTGTGTGTGCATGCATATAAAATCACTTCTCAATAATATAAAAACTCAGTCGTTCATTTCATTCCAACATTTAGAGAAAGGGAGAGCATTTGCTAACGAAACAAATATTGAAAAGTATGTGTTACATGAAAGTAATTTAAATAAATGTACCAAAATTGTTCTAACAATGTTTTATGATTCTATTCACAAAGAAGAAGAAAGAATTATTAGGAATTTAACAATAAAATATTTTTTTTCAAAGTGATTATCGACCTATGTCAGCATTGGACAGATATGATCCGAATCTACTTGATGACGAAGAATATTCAGACATGTCTCAGGAAGAACGTGCAGCTGCTGAAATAGAAATGCGAAAAAGAGATCGTGCAGCAGGCATCATAAGGGATGATCGTGATTTACTTTATGGTAATTTTTTCACATTCCGTTTAAATGAAAGAATTATTTTATAAAGCATTATATAAAATTAATTCAGTTCTTACGTAATATAATCTGTTCTATTTATTTTGTATTTTATCATAGAAGGAAACGTATTTATAATTATTAAGTTGAAATAATGTTTTTTTTGTACTTTCAGATGAAACCGATGAGGAGGATGTGCAAGCACGCAAGCGACGTATGGCTGAAAAGGCTGCTGCTGGTGTAATTGAAGATGTCGAGGTAACAGTTTTTTTTTTTTTACAAAAGCAAACTGTAACAAGTCAATAATGGGTTCCTTTCATCGCGTCAGATGATCGAGTCCATTGAAAACTTAGAAGATACGAAGGGACATTCGGTAAAAGAGTGGGTCATGATGTTGGGACCACGGACGGAAATTTCGAATCGTTTCAAGAGTTTTCTTCGCACTCACACGAATTCGAAAGGACAGTACATGTATAAAGAACGTATTCGCCATATGTGCGAGAGCAATCAGGTATTCAATCTCATATATACACAATTTTAACGAGGAAACTTAGTTTGAAACATACCTTTGTTTATTTAAAATACCTTGGAATTGGAATAATTAGTATAATTTTATAATTGGAAATAAATAAAATGTATATTTTGTACTTATATGTGTGTGTTTTGTGTGTGTGTGTATGTGTGTGACATTTTTTTATTTTTATTTTTTTCTGAAGAATAAAACGCGACTATTCTCATTCCGAGGCAACTGCTTTCTCCGATTACGTCTTGATTTCTGACACAGTTTCTGTATTTATTTCAACAGTCCAGCTTCATAGTGGAATTTCCTATTCTTGCCAGTAAGGAACACGTTTTGGCCTATTTCTTACCGGAGGCGCCGTTCCAAATGCTCGAGATATTCGACGAAGTGGCGAAGGAGCTGGTATTAACAATTTTTCCTAGTTACGAGAGAGTCACGCCGGAGATTCATGTGAGAATATCCGAGTTGCCGTTGATAGAAGAATTACGTACGTTCAGGTAAGAATCCGCATTCTTAATTTGGATCTGAAAAAATGTATTTAGAATATGCGATGCACGCATAACGGTTTTACTTTCATTTTCGATGCGATAGAAAACTCCATCTGAATCAATTGGTCCGTACTCTCGGAGTCGTTACCGCCACAACAGGGGTGTTGCCGCAGTTATCGGTGGTAAAGTATGATTGTATGAAGTGCAGCTATGTTCTCGGACCGTTCGTTCAATCCCAGAACACGGAAGTCAAGCCGGGCTCGTGTCCCGAGTGTCAGAGCATCGGCCCGTTCATGGTGAGTCTCGGACTTTGAGCGACTTTGATTGATTTTTACATTTACCGTGAAAATTGACTGATTCGAAGCTATCTTTCACCTTCTTCAAATCTTTATCATCTCGAAACATTATCTTTTTCTATTTTTTTTACTTTTGAAATTTGTCTGTTATTCAATTATTTACGTATTCTCCCTTTTTGCTTTCTTTTTTTATCTTATAAAAGTATTTATACTATCTCATAAAAATTACCTTTTTTCAGATCAACATGGAACAAACGATATACAGAAACTACCAGAAGATCACGATACAAGAGTCCCCGGGTAGAATACCCGCTGGTAGAATACCTCGCAGCAAGGACTGTATTTTATTGTCTGACCTCTGCGACCGTTGCAAGCCGGGGGATGAAATAGACGTTACCGCTGTTTACACCAATAATTACGAAGGTTCTCTAAATACCGAACAAGTAAGAGACAAGCTTCGATGCAATGAGTGATTATAATTGAAATTATACACACTTCCCTGAAGTGTTATCAGTCCATTTCTTACCGCACGTCTTGAAAGAATAAATCTCCATTTGTTTGCCAAGCGTGTACATGAACCGGCCAGCGAAGATTCTCATTTCGTCGCACCTTATTTTTCACAACAGGGTTTCCCGGTATTCTCCACGGTGCTGCTGGCTAATCACTTATTCGTCAAAGACTCGAAGGAAATCGTGGATTCGCTGACGGAGGAAGACATCTCGAGTATACTTGCTTTGAGCAAGGATCAGCGCATCACCGAACGCATTGTTGCGAGCATCGCACCTTCGATTTACGGCCATGAGAACATCAAGAGAGCCCTGGCACTGTCGATATTCGGTGGCGAGCCGAAAAATCCCGGTAATCTCCTCTCTTCATTCGCGTTATCTCAAATATTATATGAATATCGTATGGATATTGTATGAATATTATTTCGTATAGGCAACAAGCATAAGGTTCGAGGTGACATCAATGTCCTGCTGTGCGGTGATCCCGGCACTGCCAAGTCGCAGTTTTTGAAATACGTGGAGAAGGTGGCGCCCAGAGTAGTGTTCACCACCGGCCAAGGAGCTTCGGCTGTCGGTCTGACCGCTTACGTGAGGAGATCGCCCACCAGCAGGGAGTGGACCCTGGAAGCTGGGGCTTTGGTCCTTGCCGATCACGGAATATGTCTCATCGATGAGTTTGACAAAGTATAATCTGTATAAAACTATTGACATAAAAATATGTATTCTTTAACAATCTCACATCGTAAATATAGTAAATTTAATAATGAATATTATTGTAATTGTGGAATTAGTGACAACTGATAATAAGTTATCAGTAATAGTATTATTGCCAAATGATTGTTCCGATTATTATTGTTGCTTTTATTAGAATTCTCAACTTTTGTGTTAATACATGTATTTATATATGTCTAGTATTGATGTATAATTCCAACGGAAATATTTTGTCGTCAGAGACGTGCTAAAATTTCCATGTTTTTCCAGATGAACGATCAAGACAGAACATCCATTCATGAAGCTATGGAGCAACAGAGTATTTCTATTTCCAAGGCCGGTATCGTCACGTCTCTCCACGCGAGATGCGCAGTGATAGCGGCGTCTAATCCTATCGGCGGTCGATACGACCCTAGCATGACCTTTTCAGAGAATGTACGAACCCCGTAAAACACTTGAATCTCCGAGCGTTTTCTCGAAATCTTACAGACTAAAACGTTGAGGAAAGAAAATTGGGATAATATGATCATTGCGTTAATGAAATTATCAAGTCACGTACAGTAGATATTCACGTGCATGCGTATGTATAAATATCACATGTTACATTGTTATGCAGGTGGATCTATCGGAGCCGATTCTCTCGCGATTCGACGTGCTGTGCATAGTCAAGGACGAGATTGATCCTATGCAGGACCGTCACCTGGCGAAATTCGTCGTCAACTCGCATATTAAGCATCACCCCACGAGCACGGAGAGAACACAAGCCGTAGAATTGGATCCCGCCACGCGGAGTTTGTGCATACCGCAGGACCTTCTCAAAAAGTATATCGTCTATGCCAAACAGAACGTGCATCCCAAGCTGACCAGCATCGATGATGACAAAGTGGCGAAATTATACAGTCAGCTGAGGCAAGAGAGCTTGGTAAGTCGTTATGAGAAAATCGCTCAATTGTGAATTGAAACGTTGTCGTTAAGAACTATTTGCGTATTATTATTTATGTCGCAGGCGACCGGAAGCTTGCCTATTACCGTTCGTCACATCGAGAGCATCATTCGTATGGCGGAGGCCAGCGCGAAGATGCACTTGAGAGATCACGTTCAGGAAAGTGACATGAATCTCGCCATCAGAATGGCTCTCGACAGTTTCGTCGACACGCAGAAATATTCCGTGATGAAATCCATGCGCCAGGTACGTCCGTGTGTCTACATTTTCGCCAGCGTCCTGGATCCTCGTTTCATCTCACGACGACGACTCGTTTCCGGGTATTGTTACAGACGTTCCAGAAGTATCTGTCGTACAGAAAAGATCACAGCGAGCTCCTGTATTACATACTACGGCAAATCACTTTGGACACTTTGGCATTTCAAAAAGCTCTGCACGGCGGACGTGTCACAACCATTGAGATTCCGGAGAAGGATTTGTTGGAGCGGGTAAATAAAATTGATCGAGCGTTAAATCGTGGTGTTGGCATGAAAATTTATACAGAGTAGCATTATTATTGCAAATCACAAATTGTTTCCAAGTTTACACACCGAGAGAATTAGGTTCGGTTTTAACATTAAAATTCTTATAGGAATATTGCATTTTGAACTTGTTTTATTTTACGTAGAATTTGTACAACTTTTCTGTTTGTCTTTCTTACATGTTTTTTTTTTTTTTTTAAATCACATTTCACGTTATCAATGTCTCGTATTTTCAGGCTAAGCAGATCGACATACACAATCTGCATTCATTTTACGAAAGCGACATATTCAAGACGAACAACTTCGTTTACGAGTCCAGAAGAAAATTGATAATACAGACTCTGCCCGAAGGTGTCGAGGATTGATCCGAGAAGAACGGCGCCTTGTATTTTCGCATATATATTTAAGCTGTATGACAAAATAATATATATAATTTTTTACCCATCGATATAAAGTTTTCGTATCATTTAAATACTTGGCAAAATAATTAACACATTGAATATCAATCAAGTATTATTGATTATTATATATTACGTAATTATAGGATGAACTGAAGAAGGTTGAGAAATTTATGAACGGATAAGCGAAGCAAGGAGGCGAAGTATGTACAAAGTGACTAGGAGAATTGATTTCTATACAAATACACTTGATTCATGTAAATGTACAACCAACTCATCCGTATCAAAATTAAAAATTGCTTCTATTTTTAGATAAGTCTCGACTTGTTCAAATGTTTTCACGTATTCTCTGTGAACGCTCCTAAATTTTCCGAACCTTAGATCGTTCCATATAATTTTTACGCTGAACCCGTCGCTAAATCATTCAATTATATTTCTAGCATGAAACAACTACATCGATACTGTCGTAAGTACTGTATGTGCGTACAGCAGTAGCAAAAATAATCGTCATATATATTTAAACATTAACTTTATACATCAATCCATGACAGATCTGTATATCACACTCAATATCAAAACTTATAAAATCCTTACGATAGAAATAATACTAGCGCGCGATGCGATAGAATTCGAGGTGTCCTGCGATATGTGTCATCGACAAAAATAGCCTTACAAAGTATGCGTGTGTGTGTGTGTCACCGTGCATATGTAAAAATAAACTTACGATAGAAATTAGAACAGCGTGTCATCTTGATGCGGTAAAATCGTGATGCCGAACAAGCGATTCGAGCTAGCTAATGCTGAATTTCAAACGTATCGTGTACGTCCAATGAGAAAAGAGATTTGCTCACAGAAATAGTGCGATTTCACATGCAAATTTGTTTTATACAACATGAAGGAAATTCGGCGAGTGTTCCGTATTTCCTTCACTCCTGCTTATTCCATATTTTTTTTCCAAGTCATCTTATGTGACCTGAATTTATGCGAATAAAATCTGTTATCCGTACAGGATCGAATACCAAAAGAAAGAAAGCTTTCTTCCTATGCTATTGAGTGGAATTATTACTACTACTGCTGCTACTACCGCAGCTACTACTACTACTGCTGCTAGATACACTGTCGCTAGAGTCCGACTCGCTGTCCGAGGAGGAACTGCTGCTACTACTTTCACTACTACTGGTATCACTAGTCCCGCTGCTGGAAGAACTTGAGTCACTGGAACTGCTGGATTCCTTCCTCATTTTCTTCCTTACATGACTCTTCTTCGTTTCCTTCCTTTGCTCCTGACTGGAAGTCAACATGACACATTTTATATTAAGTAACACCAAGATTTATTATTAAATGCCAAGATCAATTTTTATCGATTTTCTTTAATTATTTGAATATCTACGTATCTGACACGTGTTAAAACAGATGTTACAAGTTTGAGACTTGTAAAGAAAAATACTCCACTACGTAAAGGACAAATTCAAACTACTTACTCATTGCTATCCTGTTGCTTTTGCAGGACCTTCTTGAGTTGTGCGGTACGGGAGGATCTGTGCAGGTATTTTCTCTTTCCCTTGCACTCATAACTCCAGTGTCCCATCTCGAGACACTTTTGACAACGCATCCCTTGTGGATATGGATTCCTGTAATAAAAAGGACAACTAAAACCATTGCAGCACATGTGTTCTCGTTGTTATTATCTGATTATTCTCTGGTAATACATAACATATTAAACTAATTATACACCATATTATATGCGTCGCCACATTATATCCATAATATAATCTGGATATATATATATATATCAAGGTTATGAAGAGTTTTCCGAATCATATGAATAAAATAGGTTAGAAATCATATACTCACGCTTTCTTTAACAATTTAATGCCGTTCGTGCTCATCGTTCGTTTCTTTGTTTTACAATTATATCACGAACGGATATCAAAATCGACAGCAATCACTCGATTCGGTACCTCGTGTTTTGAAGTTTGTTTACATATCCCAAGAATCTCGTTATCGGCGCGCACGTTCGCTGAACAATCGTCAGAACGCCAGCTTTTCAATCGCCGACTCGACGAGTCAAACCGCACGCTCATTGGCCGGTCCCTGTTTGACAGAAATTGTCCGACCGTTCGATTCCGATTGAAATTCAATGATAAAATCTATCCTACAAGTAGCCGCCAGTCTCCATTTAGAAAATTTTTCGACTCACTTTTCGGATGCAGCGAATAGAAAAAGAGAAAATGGCTGGCCAGCGTTGCTTGACAAGTGTCGCTTCTAAAAATGATCCTAAAAATGCTGCTTCCAATTTTTCAATTTTGACCACGTACGGAAATAAAAGCGTGAAGCTGAATATCGCGAAAGATGTGGTAATTATGTACGAAAATAGTTTGCTGGAGAAGGGAAAAATCTTAGAAGAAGAGAAGCAAAAACTGGTAATGAATTAATGAAATTCTAATCACAAAGTATTGTCTTAGATAGCAACCCTTACGAGAAAAAATTATTAGCTGATCAATAATTAAAATTATTGTATCTCTGTAGGCTATATATTTAATTACAGCTTTTTTATTACAATATTTAATTGCAACCCAAATGACAAGCAATTTTTTGAAATGTTGAAATTGATCTCAAATAAATGTCAAACATTTGAAAAATATTTTCCGTAATACTTTGAAAATATTTCAACAGCATTGAGAAAAATCATATTGAGGAATAATATTTTAAAAATACATATATAATATTATTAAAAAAAATGTTCAATGAATACGCATAAAGTCAATATTTCTAAATGTTAATTCAATGTTCTTTGCTTACCGGGGTATCTATCGAACATAATAAAGAAATGTTAATCCGTTAATGTTTGTCTCCTTTTTAATTAAATGCGAATGGCTTTTGTTTTCAATTCAGAACGAATTAAACGATCAAGTGTGGTCGCTGGAAGATTTATATTGCAATCAGATATGGCAGTTTTCGCGCGAACACGATTTCTCCGTCATTTTCAAACACTATCCCTTTGTTACGAAGAGTAACCGTTGTAAAAAGCAAAAGAACAACTCCAAAGACGGTGAGATCACATGACAAAAAATGAAAATTTATTTAGACAGTCTTATTGATTAAATAAATAAGCTGAAAATAATTATATTGATATAGCGAGAAGTGAATGTCAAATCAATCACGTCGATTCGACATAATTTTGATTGTTTCGATGTTGTTTGACGGTTTATTTCTCGCTGGTTAAAGATAAGTTCAAATATTATCATTCAGATTGAAAATAATTATGTTAGATGCAGAAAGGTGTTCGAAGTTGGTCGATCTCATAAGTGAAATCGATGCTATCAAGGCGGAGATATTTGATCTCAATCGCGGGAAAAACTTCAAGCGAGATGTGGAAGGTGCGTTAATGAACTTAAAGAAGTTGCAACTAATTTCGGAAGAAGCTATAGAACTGCTGAGGTACGGAAAGTTTTCAGAATTACAATTGTATTATGTGATAATTACAGAGAGAATTACACGTCGTTTTCACATATATAATTATTATTTCTAGAGAATTATTAATTTTTAATAAAACATATCGCTCATTTCTCTCTTTTTCCCTGCAGATTGATAAATCCTCCGGAACCTTCATACGATGCTGCTGCAACGATATCAATGCCGATATATGACGAAATGATCCCTAATGATAGCGATAAAATTACACGACACAAAAATGATTTGGATTGCAAAAGTATACACGATCACATTATTTTAATATATAACTTTAATTTAAAAAAGAAAACCATCCTTTAATTATTTTCATGATCGTTCCACAGATTTCAAGAACAAGAAGGCGCGCGGAAATCAAAAGGAGTTGTTATTACGAAATAAATTGCGCTCGAAGGGTGATAAATTAAATATCGCTGATAATAAAAAAGTAATTGCGACTTCTAAAAATTATTCACAATTGTACCTTGAAAGAAGCATTGTATTCAGTGCGAAAGCCGGGGTTACAAACGTATCTACGGAAGTACGTAGAAAATACTTCGTCTTTTCGTTCAATAAAATAGACAGAGATCACGCGTGTTGAAAATGAAATAATAAAATATGTAATAATTACAGCTTACCAATGACGGGAAACACAAAAGTTTCACTCCGAAGGAACGCAGCGACATTTCTATCATATTTGAGAAGCATCGTGAGCACACAAGACATAAGTAATAATTATTACGTTGAGAAAAATTCCCATTGGATAAACCAGTTAAACGATGCATCTGATTATTACTTCTATTGTTCGATCAAATGATGAATACTTTTATCCGATTAAGTTACTGATATAGTTACACATTCGTTAAGAAATTAATAACCTAAATAATGTTATCTCGAAGATGATGTTATCCCTATGATGTATCTCGAAGAATAGTGTTATATCCTGGGAGAATCAATTTTAATACAATGACACTTAAGGAAAGTAAAGTGTCGCACGCATATAAAATCAAATGAATCAAATAGGGTTTTGTGCAGAAAGCAGAAATGTATATAGATTTCGGGAAAATATTTCATAATATATATATATTTTTGTATATTTAGAAATATTTTACAGCCTCTCACATATAATTACGTAATGTACACTGGATAACATTTAATATTATATTTCTGGAATTATACACATAACATAATCGTATTGCGCAATAGACTATTCAACAAGTGTCATCATTCCAGAATAGCGTATTGTGCGTTTGCAATTGTCACGTCGCTTTATCGCTTGCAAACCACGGAGGACTACGCGTGTCGACTATAGATATTTGTTCTCTCTTTTTCCTTCTTTTATCTTTTTATCCTTTTTTTTTTTAAACTGTTTAACAGTTTAATCGCAATTAATATTATCATCGATCTTAGCGACTTGCAAATGTGAATGAACTGATGGACTTTCCACGTGTGTGAAGACTTTCATTACATACTCTAATGAGAGACTAATTTAAAGTTAAACGGTCGCCACGAACGCATCGGAGACAATTCCGATAATAAAAACGTAAAAATCTAAATTGACGGGTGATATCCGTCGATACACTTAGAATCGTACCTTGTATATTTGCAATATATACCCATAAGCGCGTAATATTATTTCATATTAAATTATATTTCTGGAATATCGATAAATGGTTATATGTCCGTCTTTAATAATATTAAAAAAATAATAATATTTAACACTCTTTGTCCTAAGCCCGAGTACAGGTCGGTAGCGCGATGACAACTGCCGAAGCCCGAGTATAACTCGGGCCTGGCATTTAATTCCATACGTTTCTGCTGTCGGCTTATTCTCGAGTTTCGGTCGTTCCAAATATTTCATAGAACATCGGATATCTATTCCCTTTCTTCTGGACATCAAAATTGTCCAGGATCCCATTAATAAACCATCTTTAAGGTCAAGGCTTCAAAGTGTTAATGTTATTGTAATATTATATATTTTTTAAATATTGAATTCTATGTGTATATATATATATATAATTGTAACTGTTTATTTCAAATTGCGATATCAGTTGTTTTATTATATAAATAAAGTCGAAATAATTTTGTGTAAAAACACGTTTTTATATTAAAAAATTATATATATTTATTATATATATTTTTTATATTATTTTTTTTTAATATTCTAAAAACATTTTTATAATATTCCAGGAATATTACGCGTTTATAGGGTATTAACAATCGTTTCTTCCTTTCCTGGTGAATTTCCCAATTTGTCTCATTGATTTCCCGAAATCGGCTCAAGATGAAAAAAAATAACTATTCTCTTTCAGTTTCTCGTTCTCGAACATATGCTTAAAGCTTTAGTTAATATTACATTAATAATACGAATAATATGATCTTTTAACATAATAAACATAAGCGGAACCTCAACAGATGAGATAGCAGAATATAAGAGTTGCGAAAGTGCCGATGCGCGTTTCTGCAACCCCGAATTATATATATGGCATAGAATACGTAAAAAGCAACGACAAATGCGCGCGCGCGCGCGTGTGTGGGACGCATATATGTTGCGTATCTAAACATAAAATATAAAACTATATTATTTTTTATCACTAAACTTCACAAACTCCTCTCTACAAAACAGGCGCTATGAAAATGCATATTACTTCTTACGTTCGTGTAATATACACATAACACGCTGAGTAAAACTAATTTTTTTCTTCTTCTGCGGTACCTCGAAAGTACATAAAAGTCTCCTCTTATTTTTAATACACAACGACAAGAATCGTGTTTTTCGACTTTTCCGTCTTTCACACGCTGTTTAACATAGTTCGTAATACGACGGGCGGCTCATGGCGACCATTATACGTTGCAACCTTTTTTTTTATCCTACGATACAATAAAAAAGATTTTTTCACTTTCAGACTTAACAACATATATCCGTTATCAGCAAAGAACCTTTTGGCGACATTCTTCTTCTGTCATCCAAAGTGCGCCCTACTCTTGAACCATCGCATACACTTGAGAATTTAGCAGTATTTATCGACGTTATTTCCATCACCGCGTCCGTTCGTCCTGTCATCATAATCGAACATTATCTGAGGAGCGGAAGTTGTTTTTTTCTTTTTTACACTGAACATTTACATACTGAATTTTTGAACATTGCACGAAACGGCGAGATTCCGGCGCGACTTTTTCACAGGTCCTTCGTGGCTCTTCCAAGGATCGTTCAAACATACCCCCCCCCCCCTTGCGTGTGTGTGTCATACAATCTAACGGAGAACTTGCACGCTTAACAATTAATTAATACGCGTGCGGTGCAGCGATCACGATGACTCGGAATGACGAAGATTTTTGCGGACTCGAAAAACAGAAAGCTAAAAGACGAATCACACGGTGCAAATATTACGTATTTTCTCTCTCTCTCTTTCTCTTGTTAAAGCATAGATATTCGTAACAAATAGAGATACGCGTAAAATATACATGTATACGCGTTCGTTCGAAGTGGATAGACCGAATAGGAGGAGATTTGTGCAAAATATCGCACGATGAAAAGTTAGGGACCAGGAGCTTACCCAAATAGAGCAAAAAGACGCGAGCTTTTTTATGATCACACCAAAAAGAAAAATTGCTATGCTATTCGAATAAATATTTACCGGAGGAGTATTGCAGTAATTTATTTTATTTGGATCAAGTAAATCGATTTACTTAATCCAAATCAAATAAATTACGTACAATACTCCTCGGTAAATATTTACTTGAACGTAGAAATTGTTCCTTTTTCTCTCAGTATAGAACGAAGAACGAGAAAACGTGTCAGTTCGACTGACACGAGCGGCACATAGCATACACGCCGGGATCGCGATTAGAATAGTCGAATAAAAATTAGTTTCGCACAGCCACAGTAGTTGCAACATCCTGCTTTTTAACGACGTTTCAACGAGAAATACGTCCGTCGCCCGCGATCGCACCGCGACAATAATGATCACTTTCTGACACGACGCGCCCTTTTCGTTTCCTTCCTCTTCCACGCGGCAACTAACACCCTATATAGTATACGAGGGAATTTTTACAATGCCGGGGACATTCGAGTCGAGTGTGAATCTTCGAACGCAGAAGAGAATTGATATGTCGGCGGTAATGCCTAAACAATCCAGCGCGAACGAAAACGTTCCACCAATAATACGCGTAACACGCGAAGTCTCGCTTCAGAATTTCGCGAATTTTTACTTTCGGCGAATGTATTCTCCGAGCATTAAACGAGTCAGACTGGTGTGACAGTTTGACTTGGAAATAATATCGTTTACGAGGCACATGACGTTACGTTTGCACATTTATCGCTAAATGAGACTGACCGGAAAATAGAGAATCTCGAACAAATTTATGTATTAATTTTCAATTAAATTAATTGTACCACCTCTCTTATACAATCATTATCATCTTACCGCCTTATTCTAATTCTTACATACATTATCATTATTTCCATTGAATTTAATTCAATCAGAGACAGCCACGTTCAGCATTAAGCGGATAATTTGACTCGACTTTTTAATAAACCGCTGCAAAACCACCGCGAACACGAGAACAAATCGGCTCAGCATTTCATTCGCAAAAATCATGACGATGTAACATAATAATACATACAACTACGCTATATTAATACATACGTATATATATACATAAAAACGAAGAGGCTAATGTAAAACGAGGAAATCGACAAGCTACAAAGATTCTAGAAGAATTAAGGATCTGTGTGTTTACAGGCGCATTAATGTTAAATACGAGCCTGTGTATGTATGTGTGTGTACGATATATAATACTTATCCACATATTCTGTAATGTATATGTAAACGTGCATACAAATATCCCCATAAAGATATACATATATGCATATATAATACATATAACTTTTTACAGTTATATTGGCACTATTTCTTTGTGCATAGTCAAGAGCAGAACAACGTTGATATGAGAGAAAGTTAAGAAAGGGGAAAAAAGAAAAGAGAGAGAGAGAGAGAGAGAGAGAGAGAGAGAGAGAGAGAAGGGGGGGATCGCTCTATGAAACTTAGCAAAATATAATCTCAAGAGAGCTCAATATTTCGTTCTTTGTTTCTTCAATTTGTTTTCTCCTTTATGTTTACATTTGGCAGCGAACCTTTATGATCTAATGAAAGCGCAAGACAGTACAATGGCTTCATTGTTTTAATCTCATCGTAACTATGAAAGATATATATATATCGTTACGTCAGACAAAAAACAGCAGAAAGGTTCGCGTCATTTTCTTTCTGGAGAATTTTATAAAATTTTGGTAATGACACCTCGTCATTGTTTCTTTCAATTTTTTTACCTTTTCAATTAATCGATTGAAAAGTTGGAGGAATAAATTGAAAAAGTGTTTTGCAAAGTTATTTTTCACCCTCACCCTACCGTCGGAAAGGCGATGAATGCCGGTCAAGTGAGAAATTATTTTCTGAAAAACAAAAGTCCGAACTATATTTCAGTAACAAGATTTGAACTAGAATAAGTAGATAATCTATCTTTATCATAGATGAAACAATTTTTGAAAACAGGCAAAATTTGTTGTTCCTATATAGGAACAAAGAAACGAAATATGGGTTAAACGAAGTTGTGCGATTATCCGTGATATTCCGTGCTATCTCGTAGGAATAATTGCACACAATCGTCGCTAATTATAGCAAATTACGTAATGAAAGTAAATCTAAATTTAACGTGATATCGTGCGGGCGTACACAGCGTTATCTCGTGCATAGATTATCTTCTGCTTCTGGATAATTCTTACTTTCACAAATATATTAAGTGTAGTGTGTATATATATATATATATATACATACATATATATATATATATATAGCTTGTTTTGCGGCGGTTTAGATTTGTCGGCATAAGAAATGGAAACGACGTTAATACCGGCGTGGAAGTTCGAGCCTCAGAATACAGTCCGCTGAATTAGATAAACGGCTACAGTTGAAATGTTTTAGAAGAGTAACTTTCCGTGGAACGTCTCTACAGATCGACAACGGTGTATTTCGTCTCGTAAAGTGACATATACACACATCGACGAACAAATAAAAAAAAAACAAAATAAAACCCATATATATATATATATAACTGTGTGTGTATAATATCCGTAAAACGGGAACTTATGCGCATCAACATGTTTGTTTTGCGTATTTTCGCGTATATTCACAAATTCACGACTTAACGCTTTAGTAAAATATCATCTCTTTCTTCTCTCTCGCTTATATACGAAGTACGTTTCAACATTTTATCAATACAATACAATGGAACAATATCATCGATGCCGATTCTTAATGTGTTTTTTCTCTTTTTCTTTGTAATCGTTACTACGTTTAAAGATCCTCGTATCTCTATCGTATTGATTGTTTGTACTTATATGTATGCACAGAGTAGATGGGACGTTTATCATGTTCCTTCGCAAAACGGATGCGGGCTCCACGTCCACGTGATTTTCTCGTCTATCGTAAAGGAATTATAACTTAATTATAGCTTAAAAAATTCGTCAGCTCTTCAATTGGCGTTTTATTTCGCCAAATAGATCGAAATCTTTTTTCCCCGCGGAATCTACCTCGAATTTAGTTTCACTAAACTCGAGGAATCAATTCGCAGGACGCATTAAGATATTTCTTACGATATTGAATTACAGTTATATCGATAAAATTTATTCCGCATATATATCTTTATTTTGTATATAAAGCGATGTGAGGATTTATCTCACAATCCCTTCAAACTCACAGTAATGCCGAGAGAAATCTATTTTCCTTTCGTATACCGAATGCTTCGACACAACGAAAATGGAGAAAGACGTAATAGTCGTTTGAAAATGTTCAACGCGCGAATCTTTCGGCGCATTCGCGCACAATTTCGAGTTTTCGCGCGTTTCGATGGAAGAAAAATCCGTCTTACTTTATTGCGTTACGCAAAAAATATGCTATGTATAACGTACACATATTTCCGGCACAACACGTTCGAGTATCATCGGCGACATCGGCCGTAACCTTAACAAAGTACACAAATACACAACATGAACCAAGAATTACAAACATACAGTCGTATAAATATAGTTTATATATCGGCTTCTTCTGTAATTTTATGTTGCTGAAGTTACATGTCACTGACATGAGATATCAAACGCGCGTGAGATATCTAAAATATCTTATAAATTGCACAAAACTCGTATCTTTCTCTGTCCGCAAGAAAAATATCCGATTCAGCACCAATTTCATGTTTACATATTTATATGCGCATGTGTGTGTGTGTATGTGCATATTACACATATTATTCCGTCTTTCGCACCGAGAGAACGTGCGCCTTCCCCGCCCCTCGTCTAAGCGGGGAAGCAATCTAAATTGTTTTGTACAGCGCGCGTTTTCACGCGTTTCTCGCGAAGAGTGAGATCATCATCAGGGCGAAAATTTAAGTCGGCAAAGATTTTCAATCCCGGTACGGAAGATATACCTCTTCTCGCGCGTGGTTATTCAACAGTTCCCGGCCACTCTCACTCTCCCTCCTTCCCTCTCCGTCACGGTATTAAGAATCGACATCCGTGGTGACATTGGCGTATTCGGATAAAGACGTGGGCATCGGCTCGGAGGCGACGATTACATCGCCCGGTAGGGGCCCTGCAGCTTGAGGAAGTGTATCACGGTGGACGGGCCCTCGGCGACCACGTCGGGCGGTATCTGCGAGAGCGGGCAATTGTCGATCGACATTATGATGAGCTTCGAGCAGAGCGCGAGCTCGAACGGCAGGTTGAGCAGGTTCGGGTTGTCGTTAATGTGGAGGGCCTGCAAATTGTCCAACGTGCCGATCTCGTCCGGCAGGTAGTTGAGATTGTTCTCGCCGACGCTGAGGAATGTGAGATTCGTCAGGTGTCCGATCGTGCGCGGCAGGGCGGTCAGCTGATTCGACTGCAGCACCAACTGCTGGAGTTCACGCAGGAAACCGATTTCGCTCGGCAGCGCGTCGATCTTGTTCTCCTCGAGGTCCAGTAAGCGCAGCTTGCGCAAGTTACCCACGCTCGGCGGCACCCGCTTCAGCAGATTGTTCGACAGGATCAGCACCTCGAGGTTCTGCAGGCACTGGATGTCGTCCGGGATCTTGCTGAGCTGATTCGAGCCGAGATTCAGCTCGACCATGTTGTGCCAGGTGCCGATGTCCAGCGGCAGCGCCGTCAGCTGATTCTCCTTCATGTTCAGCTTCGTGAGGTTCTTCGCGCGGGAGAAGATCCCGTAGGGTATCTTGTCGATCTGATTCTGCTCCATGTTGATGGAGTAGACGTTGGTGAATTGCGACGGACCGCCCGACGGATACGCGGTGAAGTTGTTCCTGGAGAGGGTGATCGTCGTCAGATTCGACAGGCTGGAGAGCAGACCGTCCGGCAGGTGCGACACGTGATTGCTCTCCACGCTGAACTCGTCCATCATCTTGCAGTTGGCCAGCGACTTCGGGATACACGACAGCCCGTTGTAACGGAGACCGAGCCGCGTCAACGACACGAGGTTGCCGATCGTGTCGGGTATGTCCAGGAGGTCGTTGTGCTGGAGATCCAACGACGACAGCTGCACGCACTTGCCGATCTCCTCGGGCAGATGCTCCAGGTGATTGTGAGAGACGTCGAAGGTGAGCAGATTCACGAGATCCCCGATGCCGGCCGGCAGCTCCTTGATCTTGTTCTCCCGCAGGCTCAGCATCGTCAGATTCGTCAGGTTGCGAATGTTGTCGCTGACGTATCTCACCCGATTGAAGCGCATATAGAGTGTGGTGAGCGACGTCAGTTTGTACACCACGTCCGGAATCTCGTTCATCTTGTTGTGCCTGAGATCCAGCACGCGCAGGGACTTGAGGTTCTCCAGGGTGTTCGGCAGGCTGGTCAGTGAGTTCTCGTTCAGCGCCAGGGTCTCCAGATTGGCCAGGCAGCCGATTTCCGGCGGCAGGCTCGCCAGCTTGTTGCCGTACAGGTAGAACTCGGTCAGGTGAGTGAGCTCCCGCACGGAGCTCGGTAGATTCGTGATGCTCGCCTTGCTGAGATCCAGCCGCCTCATGCATTCGTCCCGGCAACGGACGAACGCCTTCGCCACGTCCAGGTCGGCCTGAATCGGCTTGCCCTTCTTCGTCGTCGGCTTCGGCTTGTTCGACTCCGGATGCTTCACGGTCACGATCTTCTTGATGTCGGTACTACCACTGCCGCCGCCTCCTCCGCCTCCGCCGCTTCCAGCACCTCCACCGCCGCTGCCGCAGATGGAGGTGACCAGCAGCTTCCTCTCCTTGTTGCCTGACTGTTCTTTGTTGTCGCGCAGCATGTCCAGCTCCTCGGGCATATCGGCGGTCGTGCAGGTGGTCAGGCCACAACCCTCCAGATACTCGGGTATGTCCTGCTCCTTCATGTAAAAGCTCGGCAGGCTGTCGTTCCCCCCACGGCTCGTTACGCGGTTGCGTTTTGCGCTCGACAAACACACCGTCGATATGTTACCCACGCCCGCGTCCAGTACTTGCACTTTTTTTTTATAACTCAAACTCGTCGTCGTCCCCCCCCGCAGCGTTCACTGAGCACGCAGCATACGCACACATGTACGCAACAAAGAGTTATACATAGAAAAAAGAGAGAGAGAGAGCTAGCAAGCGAGCGAGAGAGAGAAAGAGAGAAGGCGAAAGTTCGTTCGTTCGTACGTTCGTTCGTTCGCCCGCCCCGCCCGTATAAGATTGCGTCGTCGTGGTAAGGTCTCTCTCACGCACCGTGAAAACGTTGCACTTTAAGAAGAAACCGCCGCGTCCTTCTCACCGCGTCGCCGATCACGGCATCGTAGTACGTGTAGTTGCGCCGTTGTATACGCGACGCGCGCTCACAAAAACGATAAAGTTCGCAAAGGCGACCGCCACCACCACGAACGGTATTGATATTATTGACGCTGTGCGCCCCGGTGGTACCGCGGTACGCGCGCACGGCGCAAGCGTGAACGCGCTGCGCTCGCGCGTGCCATCTTGCGTTCCTGAACGTACGATTGTTCTTGCTTTAAGCACTTGAAGCTTTAAAGTGATTCTTTAACGATCTCGATAGCATCGTTATCGCGAAAGTTGCAGTCTGTTGAACTTTTGTTTTATTATAATGGAAAGTACGCCTGACCAGCCCTTGAATCATACTATTTGAGAAAGTACGACCGGCTCTACTGTTTAGTCATATCACGACTTCAGTTTCTCGTTAAGTGTAGTGGCGACTCATAGAGGAGATTCTGCAACCAAATTACAGAAATAACGGATTTACGGAATTATCAGACCCGTTATTTCTGCAAATTTGTTCCGGAATCTCCGCTATGAGTCGCCACTATATTTAACCACAAACTGAGGTCGTGATGTAACTAAACGATGGAACCGGACGTACTTCCTATTTCTCAAGTAGTATGACTCAAGGGTTGGCCAGACGTACTATACATTATAATAAAAAACATAGATGAAATTCAACAAGCTATAACTTTCATAAAAATAACGCTATAGAGATTGTTTAAGAAGCACATTAAAGTTTGAAGTCTTTAGTTTTCAACCACATTAGCTATATTAATGTTGTCGTTAATTTTCGTTAAGATATTTCGAGTTAAACGAAAAATGGCGACCGCTCAGTTTCAAACTTCGTCTTTCAGTTGAGTTTTCAGAGCGAAAAATTATTTGATTCAAAAATATGATATAAGCGTTTTAAAGAAGAAACTTTAAACTTTTTACGCATTCGTTAACGAATGACGTACCGACGGGGAAAATATCAAATTTCTTTCGACATTGCGCGGCTACGTTCAGAAAGCACCAATGGTCGTACACAACAGTCGAATGTGAGGGGAATAATCGACTGTGGCCAATATTCATAGTTGAATCTTATATCAAAGACGTCTGAGGTTCATCTTCAGATTTCTCTTTATTACAATTAAATCAGACAATGGCGTGAAAACGGACTTTATTCGAAAACTTGCGCCTTCTCGCGTTCGCTTGTTATGCGACGTAAATTCTCGCAAGCTCAGCGTGGTCGCGCGATCTTGCGAGTGTCGTGTCCGAACATATGTCTTTCTAGAGAGTAAAAATTATATGTATCACTATAGTTTATCGAATATATTGTATGATCTGCGTTGATCAGAAATCGCGATCTTATTGTTACGTACAGCATTGTGAAAAAAATAGTAAGGAAATCTGGTGCGAGACACCTTACACACACACATATATATATATATTATAAATATAAATATGTATATAAATATAAATAAATATAAATATAAATACATATTTATTTATATATATATAGTATGTACAATTGAAGAGTACATGTCCACATGGGACATACAATGCTGTTAAAACTAGCGTCTCTTCGTTTTTTTATCTTATTTTTTTTAATCTTCAATGATTTCTAAGTACGTTTTCACACAATGAAATATTTGAACTACAATAATAATGATAAAATAATATAACAAATTAACGCTGTTGTTACATTACATAAAAAATAGAAAAAAGTTACATATATTCGATATAATATTTAAAAAATGCAAAAACGTGTAATATTTTACTATGTAAAGTTTGGATAAATAATTATATAATGGCTGCGATTTGATCAACGATTAATTTCTCACTAAGTGTGTCACCCCGCTACGCTACGAGTAAATACAACTTTCATTGTAATTACCAGAAATCATTATACTACGATCGTGAATTCTCTAACACATTCGTTGTTGGCATCGATCGACAGATTGGATTATCTTTCGTAAAATTTCTTCGAATAAAACGAGAAACGCATAGCTATGCTACACTAAATCACCTGAGTTTTAACACCGTCGCCTGTAAAATAGCAGCAAACGTCTTAATCGTCGAATATGCTGCCGAGTGTGACTGAATGATCGACAGTCACACCGTTTAACGTTCGCTATTCACCTCCGATTGGATTTTAGCAGAATTTGATTATTATTTTCAGCTCCCCTCGTTCAGTTACCCGCGAAAGACATGCTGCTGGCATGACGGCGGCAATAGTTTCCCCCGGGTGAGGCATATATTCGACATTGCTTGTCAGCCCTCGTTGTCGCCAAACAGATGAATGGCTTCGACGTTGAAAACGATGGAGTGACACTACGTAACACAAATGATTAGTTAGCTATATATATATATATATATATATATANATTTATCTTATGTTTGGACGGACGCTTGACCTTCTTTAATCGCATACACAGTTACCCGAATAAACCCGAAAGACTCATGTAGTCAAAACTAACAGCACTAGTTGCAACGGCTCTCTTATTAGTTTCACACACCTTTTGGACGTATCAGTTTTACGCAGACGACGTCGCAGTTCGTAAGCGTCCACTAAATCATTAATGTCGCCGTTTTCGTTGGCGCCATTGCTCTTGTCATCGTGATCACTGTTATCGTCATCGACGTATTGCGACGGGCTCGTCGCTTTGAAGAAATTCGTAACGATATCGTCGTTCGACATCATACTCGGAAATTCACGACTATTCAAGTAGCTGCAAACCACGTCCTCGTGCTTCCTCCTCGGCTGATATGAGCAGGAAAGCTCTTCGTGCGCATTCGAATTCCGCTGGTTCCGTGAAACGGCCGACCGCACCAAGGCGTTGAGTTCCTCTGGAAAACACGACGACAATCGTAGCTTGATCTTTCTTATTTTGAAAATGTAAAAAAATTATGCAAACCAGTTGTTCTTTTTCTATGTAAAAATTAAATATTTTGGGGTTTTCAGCAGTTTTTACCGACCTTGGTGTTGCCATATTCGGTAGACAATTTTACACGGGAAAACACCGATTATTGAAATAAACAAGTTAATATATAACTTAGAACAGTTTCAAAAAGCCAATATGAGACAAATACGATAAACGGCTGCATAAAAAATGACTTTGATCTGGTAAAACAAGGTGAGACACGGGTATGTCGTTTTCACGTCTACTTTCAGAATCTGAGTTTCTCATGGGAGGAAAAAAAACTTGATTTTTTGCCGGTGTTATACCCGTGTAATAACTGTCGTTAAAAGTTACAGAGCATAGATTAGGAACGTACTTGCGCAGCGATTTATTTTAAAAACGGTAAGGCTATAAAATTTCCGAATTGTATTTATTAGTCTCGTGTACAATGGCGCTTTTGGAATGGAATTGGAATACGATGACGACGTGTATTTATGCGCGTTCCCGTTCGAATGTTCGTTCTGATAGACCAAATTGTCTAATTTCGTCTTCAGTCTGTTTGGTCCAAAGATACATTGTATTCCCAGCATTACGAAATGCACTGTGTTAAAGAAAAAAAAAATCGCTAAATCAGACATGAGTTCGTGTGTATTACATGCGAGGGACTAATACATATTGCGCTACAGTATTTACTTCAACATTTCCATACTTAAGAAACAGCAATCTAAGATGACAAATAATTCACAACTATGACTTTATGAATGACCTAAGTGTATAATTTGGTTTATATATAACTTACTTCCGGTGATTAAGAAGATTAACACTGTCATAGATGTAAAATCCAAAGTGGCCTCCATGCCATGTTTCAAGTAAGCCATGAGATTCACTGGCACGATGCCCATGATGGTAGCGCGAGTCAAAAACGGCGCTTGTAAAAACGAGGCGATTATCATCGCTACTAGTATGTAAATCACATATAAAACCGTGCGATATACTCTCTGCACTTGTTCACCTGGAAACAGAGCGCTCTTGAAGCAACAGCAATATTTGAGGGACGCGCAGATAACAGCTCACAATCTTGTAACAACGAATCTAAAGCAATTGAATGACGAGAAAACATTGATACGATCCGGACACGCTCAGCTTGCAACAATGACAGAAGATATAAGAAATAAATTAGGTGATAAATATTTATTATAATTTTCCCGCGTAAAATTTTTGTATATGAGAATTTTCTTTCGAATTTATTCATACCATATTTTTCAAAGAGCGCACAACAGGATCTCGTGCAACAGTCCATCGAGCGTGGAGTAAATCACCAGGAGATCCTGCAGGATCTGACCCGCAGGAACAGGCACGGTCAATCTGGGAGAAGATCGAAGGCAGCACCAATCGTTTATTAGAGAGACACAACATGCATGGAATCTATTCTATCTTTTCACTTCATGAAGGACTCAGTTAGTGGTGTATATATTGTGGTTCTACTGCTAATAAAGTTAAGATATTCTTGCTGTAAAGACAAATATCAATCAGTTTTAACATGTATTATCAATATCTCTGATAGATCTGAACAAGATGTCGATATATATTAAAAATAGATATTGAAAATAGAACATAGAATAGCAAAGTATGTCTGTTCTATTGAGCAAAATAGATTACTTTTTCATCAAGTGGACTTTACAAAACAGAACATAGTTAACTAAGAGACTGACAAGGCATAATTTACATATATATGCAGAGGTACAAAGTATATTTAAAAGAAATACCATTTCTTCCATGCAAGGAAACATCTTTCTGCCTTCGACCGCAGACTGACAATTTAGAAGGTTGACACTGAGCTTGGCTAATTGTTCCTCTGTCATATCGGTACAGGACGTCCTTATCTTCATGACAACTTTGTACTGACAAGTTTCTAACGGAGAAGCCACCTGAATGTCTGTGAACTCGGCAGCTTCTTGGAGAAACTTCTCATCCTCTGTCATCGACTCGTAAGGAATTGAGTCTAAAGGCACACCGTGTCCGCCACCAAGACAGTTGTGTCGTTCGTTTTTGTTTGCCGTATCCAATCCAATACAGATGTACTCCCAGATTCACAGTTGAATGATACGAATATCAACAGCAGAAATTTGCAATACATTTTAAGGTGCATTGTGCTCCTTTAATTAATTCTTCCGTCTGATAGAACGCTTCAAGGTGATCTTCGAGCAAAATTCAAACGCGATGACAAGTATTTATTTTGGTCTGCACGCCGGTAACGGTTAAGTCTATCGTATATGGCGGACTCGCTCTTGCCGCGAAATTCGCCGCGTGCACAATTGCAATTCGACAATTGGACGATTTCTCTATGACATATTTCTTTTCTTCAATCTCTCGTTATTCATTTTGTAAACACATATTTCAGCCGATTACGGAAAGATTTGAGAAATATGAATATTACGTTTTCGTAGATTAAATTCGTAGTGAAATTGAATCAGCGAATGAATGACGCATACCTGACTGTTAGAATTTTAAATTCAACCAATCAACGTAGGTCATGAATGGGGGCCGGTTTAAATTGACAAGTTCATATCACGAGATGCGCTTATTCATTTTCTTATTCACGAGAATTTAAGATAGAATTTATCATATAAAATAATTATTATCTAATTGTTATGTTTTTTGTGTGTAACATCTAAAAGAAATAGAGCACGTATACATACGCACACACATGTGCGTATATTTCTTAAGGCTTAAGCGGAGTCTACAATGGAAGAATTTAAAGCGTTAGCCTTAAGAAATTGACCAATCACATTCGATTATTCTCCTCATATTGGACTGGTCAATTTCTTAAGGCTTAACCCCTTAACGCACAATTAAAAAAAAAAAACCGGCCAAAAAAAAATCAATTTTTTTTATGTAAAAAATTTTTTTCTTTTCTTTCACATTGTTATTTTCAATTCTCGATTATATTTGAGTGTGAAAAATTATAGCAGCATAAAATACAACGCCGCTCGAATTATCTCGAGTGTGCACAGTTTGGCCTGTTTAGCGCGCTCGAATTAACTCGAGCGTACAAGTTAAGGGGTTAAACACCTATTGTGGACCGATACGACAAATGCAACTCACATTTTAATAAATTGAACATGACGATTAACTTTATTATTTCTACAGAATATGAGAGTTCTCTTCCCACTAAACATTTACATACACGCTAATTTATACAAAAGAACATAAATATTTAACCACTCTCGGTAGATAAATATTATTATTGAGGTTCCTTTCATCCGTACATAGAACGTAATAATGTTTATTAATTTCAATGTTCTTTCAGGATATAAACGCAAGCAAATTTATATACAATATAACGACAGTAAATACATCAACGATAATTATTATAAATTAAAATTAATTACAAATTATGTTACCAAGAAACAGAACTAATATATTCTTAATTTCGAATCTCATCCTTTACAGGTAACATCAGCTCGGATAAGAACCAGCATTAACATTTATACAAAATAGAGTATCGCGTATTAATATCGAATCTTAACGCAATTAACTTAAAATTAATCATTCCCATTTCTCTTGGAACTCAACCCAAATGATTTCCTTTAGAAATATGATATCACTTATTCACTCATTAGTCCGTAAATTACCAAATGCACGTCTCGAAAAGGCAATCAAAACATATGATCCGACTTGCCTGCAAGTGAACCAAAAAACCATTTCGCTCCTTTTCAGGTCTCATCAGAACATAGGCTTATATTCTGAAAAATTCATAGAATTACGTATATATATGATGCATAATCATACATCTTAATTATAAATTTACTTACTTATATTAGGGACTGGAAGTTCCATTCTATACACATCAGGTGGAATAAATTGCGGTGGAAATGATCTGACTGGCGCCATTAAAGAAGGATGCCGCCTTCCTCTCAATAGAGGAAACTGTCCTCTAGGGATTGGGACCATAGGACTCATCAAGAGTGGCCTCGGAGGTAAAGTCTGACGGTAAATCGAAAAATAGTTTAGTAACTAACGGAGATTCGTTAAATTGATATTTATTAATCAGTGTTTGCCGGTATCTAGATAAAATTATTTAAATAATCATCCAGACGAATAAATAGGTCATCTTTATCGTTACTTAGATGGAAAAAATACAAAATATATTCATCTTCATCTTAGATAAAAAAAACATGTTACTTCATCTAAAAATTATCTAAAATGATGTTATGGTCCATATTTTGAACTCAATTTTCGATAAAATCGAATGAAATAATATGGACCTATGCGCGTTAAGCCCGTATCAGACTAAAGATTGGAAATTAGATTTCAATGAATCAACAAATTTCAGTTTTGTCTCCTTTGGTCTGTTCAATAGTCAGTCAGTAGTCTGATATGGGCTATATAGAAGAAGACTGAAAGTCTGTATAGAAGAAGACTGTGTTCAGAAAACATAGCGATTAGCGAGTAGTCAATAATTATTGATCTTTTTTTATTAGATCCTTAAATTTAGAGCGATCACGTTGATGAATTACTTAACCGTTATATAATTTTATGACATGCATAATTTTTATTATAAATTTTTATAAAGTTTCTCATGAAAACAATACCATATTTTAAATTATCTAGATGAATCTTAAATCATCTGAGGCAAACACTGGTATTAATTTTACTTACACCGTAATAAATATCCATAGGTACAGGTTTAACACAATGTGGCGCTGTGTCTTTTCTATTTCTGAAACTGTCACGGTTTCTATTTCGATCTCGTTCTGTACATCTATTCCTATCTCTATCTTTATCTCTGTCTCCTTTTTCCTGAGAACGTTCGTTTGATCTATTTCGATATCTATCCCGATATCGATTGCAGTAAGATCTGTTCTCTATAATAGATCTTTAATAACAAAATCAGTGTGACAATAATGATACTTGATTTCCAGCATAGATTTTCAACTTCACTCGATATCTTCCTTGCTTGCAAAGATCTTTATATTAATAATTAATAATGATATGTAATACGAATGATTATTCTATACCTGGAATGGGAACTGCTTGCATTCCGTTCTTCGGAGTATGAATGATTATTATTGTGCCTTCTTATGTCTCTACCTATATATTTTTCTTTATGTTCCTTATTATCTGTATTGTCATGTCTGAAATAAAATACGAATTAAAAAAAAAATGTGTGCAAAATTATATTGCTCATCTGTGTTATCAACCATATAATATTCATTTTAATTGATTCTTTAACGAAAATCAAAAGTTCAATTTGTTTTTATCAATAAATAAGTAATATAAAACATATTTTTTTACCTGTCACTTTTATGACAATAATTGTATTCTACTCTTCTATGATGTTTCGATTCGGCATTTCGAGATCTGAAACGAAACGAAAAGATATTAAAAAGGAATGCATATTTGACGATTATTAATGGATTATGAATAGTAGTTAAACCTGATGTGAGATGGATATCCAGGACTATAACTGCGGCTCCTATTAAGACTCAACGATGACGAACATCTTTTGAAAATTCGTAATTTTCCTACCAAAGTCGAGTGAAATTAAAGAAATATATATTTTCACGTAACGAGTATTATAACATGGTAAACATTTGCAACTTATAGTGCGCCAAAAATCTTCCTAAACCTATCAAAAACTAAAACTACTGTGAGTATTGTGCTATCAGAGATTTTATCTGTTCGAAGTTTGGCACATTAAAAAAAAAATATCAAAAGCGGCCCTTTGTTTTTATTGAATGAAATTGAAAAATAATTGTGGCCATTTGTAATAATGCATACCGGATTGCTCGCTATTTGTGGCTACAAGCGTATGTTGTTTCTTCACTTCGCTAACTGCCTTTTTAATTTCATCTCTGTCAAATATTGGTCTACGTCCTTCCCCTATATAATTTATTACATCTTTTAATGCTACGGTGTAACACAAAAGCTATACCAACACAATAATTTGCAACTTTTTTAACTATTTAAGTTAAACGTAATATCTTTCAATTGAGACCAGTCGTTAATAACACTATTAGATTGTATCGTAATATTAATTATATTAATTATAGTTTTGCAAATATCAGACTTGTGACGCACTTTTGCAAACGGAGAAAAAGATGGAGCAAATAAAGTTACTAAAAATGCGAACCTGTATGTTACAGTTAAGGCAAAATAATTTTAATTTATATAAAACTCTAATTTGATATTCATTTCAAGACTTTATAAACAATCTTCGATATCGACTTTATAAACAATCTTCAATTGTCGATCTTCGATATCTTCAAAGTATCTTCAATGTTGTTATAAAGGCAATTTTTCAAAAGTAAGGTATGATTTACAAAAGTTTAATTAAACGAAAATTTAATTTCCATTAGATCCTCCTCTATAATGCACCGTAATTTTGGTATCATCTAATACACTTGAATTAAATAGAGAATATAATTAAAGCATATATAATATAATTTAAGCATATAATGTCATACATATTTTATATACATACCTTTTTATATATCTCTAAAATGTAATACAATATTATTCTTTATTAGGCTCAAACATTGAATAACCAATTTCGTTTTAACTGCAGGTTAGAATTGTAATTTTTATCAGATGAAATGTGAGTATCAATATTCTGTGAAGAAAGATATTAATTAAAATATTCATATTTTTATTAATATTAACGCGTTCAATGCAGATATGAATTTTTAAAAGTATTATGTTTGTATTATATCATAAATAAATTGTTTGCTGTAATACTTACTTAATATACAGTCTATACAATGCATTAGAAATGTAAGTAATGTATTATTTTTGTTTCTGTAAGTTACAAAAATTAATTGCAATTAAATAGCTATTTATCTTCACCGGAATTATCTTAAATCGAAACAAACCTTTTATCCGAGGCTGCTAAAATATATTCCGGAATCTCTTCCTTCTAATATTTTCATTAAGCATTGTTGAATCTTCAGTTATAAATCTTTCATTATTGTATCTTCAATTGTTATATCTTCCGTTGTTGCATGTTTCATTGTCGTTATGCCTTTGTGCCTTATCCAATCCATCCAAATTGTTACCGGATCTATAATTATATTAGATGTACAAATTAATTCCTTACTTTTTCGCAAAATTTAAAATTTACTTATAAAAGTACAAGAAAAATTTTAATCGATAAAATAGTCTCCATCATTCTCGATGACCTTAATCCTAGATATACATACTGGGATTCTTGGGACTCCAGTAGAACCTGAGGAAGTTAAGAACTTTCTCAGGTTGACATTTCGAAAAATTGGAAAGAGAGGACGTTGACGTAAATAAAAGTTTGGAGTCTCTTCAGTAGATAGACATGTTGACGTGCGCCAGTTATCGCTGAACCATCGAGCAATAAACGTATCAAATGAGTTTGGGATCTCCAAGACACCAGAGTGTATAGAGTGTAATTTTTTTCAAGATGAGTATTTTTTTCTAAATAAAAATGTATGCTGTAATAAGGTGAAAAATAATAGTATATAAGTTATAAAATTATACCTGTCGTCAACTGTATTTCTTCGAAATACAGATTTGCTGATGTATTAACCAGCTCCACATCACTCTATTTTCGTGTTGTAATTACAAGCGTATAAACTATGGCCTATATTTCATCTTCAACCATGTTATTTATATTTAAAAATATAATTCTCTTCCTCATTTTGATTCTTCTAAACAATATATGACCGTCAGGAAGAGATGGGCGATGTTAAAAAAAAAAAATTAATTTTCAAAAAATTGATTATAAAATGTATCAATTTCTCATAATCGATAAAATCTTGGAAACACCGACGATAATCGATTAATTTAAACTTCTTTGATAGTTTTGATAGACCTTTGTTACTTAATAATGATAAATGTCTGAGCCCCCCCCCCCCAAAAAAAAACANTAGAAATAATCTATGTCAAAATAATCGACTTGATATCACCCATCCTTACAATCACTTACTCAATACCTTCGAATGGTGTTGGAAATGCGTCATTGGGCCACCTGAAACCACTACTGCGAAAGAGAGAGAGAAGTTTGTAACTCACAACGCAGCAGACATATCATTCATCATTTCCTGCGAACCCAATGTATAAGTATAGGCATAAATCAATAATGATTTTTTATCGTTATAATTCGTAATACTTTCTTGGAAGATAATGCATTTTCATAAAAAGGAAGTAGAAAAAAAACCAATATACAGCTTCAATAAACGGGTTAGCGAAAACTATACTCATTCCGATGGTCAATCTTCATAGTAAATGTATCTTCGAGTATTAATATATAATCTTCATAGTAAATATATCTTCGGGTATTAATATGTAATCTTCATAGTAAATCTCTTAATGTTGTAACTTTTAATGTTAGATTCTTCGATATCGTAAATTTTTAGTTTCATATTTATTCGATGTTGTATTCACTGTTGTATTCATGATCTTCAAGGCTATGTCTTCTATGTTCTGTGTTGAAAGCTATATCTTCTATGTTATTTTTCTAATGTTGCACTTCCGACTTGATATCTTACGACGTGGTATTTGTTTCTTCAGTGTTGCTTCCTTAACGTTGTATCTGTAAAAATGTATCTTCCAATGTATCTTTGATGTTATATTTAACACGATGCTGCATCTTCAGATACTATATTTTCCAACGTTATACATACAGGGTGGGTCATTTTAATCGCTCCAAGCGGATTTTTTGAAAAATACATAAGATACGAAAAACGTTTCAGACAAAAGTTATAGGGTTTAATAAAAAAAATTGTTTCCATTAAAAAATTTCAAAGTGATCTTACCTTGATCTCGATAACGGCACTCAAGGTCAAACTGATAAAATCAATAAATAGACATTTTTAAACCTTACAACTTTTGTCTGAAACGTTTCTTCGTACCTTGCATATTAAAAAAAAATACACCTGGGGCGATTAAAACGACACACCCTGTATACTGTTGTATCTTCAAAGGTATGTCTTCTATGTTTCATGTTTTATCTTCTATGTTGTTTTTCTGATGTTGTATCTCTGACTTGGTGTCTTCCGATGTTGTATTTTTCGGCGTTGTATCTTTAATACTATCTTTAATGTATCTGTAAAATTGTATCTTCCAATGTTGTATTTTCCATTGTTGCATCTCCGATGTTACATTTTCGAATGTTGTACTTCTAGAAATTGTATCTTCCAATGATGTATTTTTCATTGTTGCATCTCCGATGTTATATTTTCGAATGTTGTACTTTCCGAAATTGTATTTTCTAATGTTGTATTTTCAAGGCTGTATCTTCTATGTTCAAGATTGTATCTTCTATGTTGTTTTTCTGATGTATCTCTAATTTGGCATTATCGGATGTTATATCTTCTGGCATTATATCTCCGTTGTTGTATCTTCAGTGTTGTGTCTTCAACGTTGTATCTGTAAAGTTATATTTTCCAATGTTATATTTATGATGGAATATTTATTATTGCTTCATTCATGATGAAATCCTATATCTTCTAATCGTTGATATTGTATCTTCCAATGTTATGTAGAACTCGGAATAGTGAAGCATTCAAATACTCATTGATATATTTCCGTTAAATAAGGATTAAACCGATTCACTGAATACTTGTAATATACGGATGCCTACCGGAAAATAGATATTCATAGCATAGGATAAGATATTGATGCTATTGCAGGATTAGTGTTTGCCTAAGGTGATTTCTGAAGTTTAATGTATCTTCCAATGTTGTATTTTCGAATATATTTTGTTTGATATAGGTGCTCATTTTGATTAATATTAAAATCATTATTATAACAATTACTATTATATCACAATTTGCAAGTGATTTAAATATTCTTACTATTTCATATTTGTATAATATTCACATTATATTTAGATAATTGTGAATGTATTATCAAAAATTTTTATTATAACATATATATACTATTTTTTCTTTTGGGAATGTTTTTATAACATGTTTCTTTAGAGAAAAAGCAAAACATATATATATATATATATATATATATAATAATAAATAGTNTATATATATATATAATAATAAATAGTTAAATATAATATTGTATATGTGTACATTTTCCATTTTTGAGCACATATTTTTTACTTAGAAATATTTCTTTTTCATTTCTTTTTTCAAATCAAATTTCAAATTTTTTCATTATATGTAACATTCCCTGTCATGTAAAATTATTATAATGCAATATTACTCTATAACTTTACCAAAATAATAAAAATGAAATACAAGTCGTAAATATAAGTCGTGTGATTGTCACGACAGCGATGATGTAAAATCCTTTGTCGCTGATTTCTTCCGTGTTGAATATGTTATATAGTCACTATAAAGAATGTATGTATTTCTTAATTTCCAAGCTCACGAAATTACAATATTGAAGACGCGGATATCTGAAATTCTACCAGCTGGTTTAGTAAATACGATAACGGTAATTCTTCATCATAATGTATCTTCTTTCATCTTCTTTCGTTGCTTGAGTTAACAATAACGAAAAACATATGTAGTATTGTATTATATTGTACCGTGCATATAATACGAAACATCATTGATATAAAAACATTAAATCTTCGCGTTGGAGTCACCTCTTCCAGACGGTGTTCATTGTTTACAAAATCGTCAAACACATGATGTCATGCCCATTTTTTCCGACGTCGATTAAACCTCAACTTGACGGATATACTCCACGCGAACGAAATTAGCAATTAATGCTAACGCAAGAGACTAAGATAGCGTATGGTTAGTAAGAAAGTTGCAATATTCTTTTGTACTCAATTGATTCGCTTGTTAGTGCGTTTCCTTTCTATTTCTTTTTCTTTTCTGGCATTGCCTCGCGTTCAGTTTAAGTGTGTGTGTGTGTGAACAAAACAATCGATCTACGTTGTAAGATTTACTTTTATAATGAACGTACTCTTGTCACTGTACGCGCGCACGCACACACACATATGTGAGCGCGAACATTATAAAAAAATCATATAACTATAGATAACAATGAATTTCATTGTCATTCAGCAATATACAACTTTCGCAAGAAAATGCCAAGAAAAATGCAATATTTTACCCTCTCTTCTTTCGAGGATTACATCCTCAGGATCGAGTATATCCCGTTGTAGTTCAGTAACCGGCCCTTTTACAAGAATATTCCTGCGAATATTAACTTCAATTTGACGCAAGTCCTTAATATTAAACTGTGCGCCTTCGGGACCCTTGAACAAAGGTACTGCCCCACTTGCGGACCCATCTAATCTAAAGATAACACAGTCACGTGATATATTAAATTCATTATAATCGTTATTCTCTCTCTACATGTATTCTAAAAGATTAAGAAACATACAATATGAATAATGTAAAAATAATACAAGCATATTTTAATGTCTCTTCCTCTTCCTTCATTTTAAAGAAGAGAATTTCTCATTTGCTGACTACATCATCAATCATTACTTGTGTTATATTAGCTGGGACAATATTCCTTCTAATTTATCAATGCTTGAAGCAGTTACTTTTCTGCAGTTTTTGATATAATTAGTACAATATAATACAATAGAGTTATTCGATATTATTAAAATAATTGCAGACACTTGAATTTTTTAGCAACTTTCTGCAAAGGTTTTTTTATCTTGCCTTATAGCGAGTAGAATTTAAATTGTAAAATTTAATAGTTACTTTCCTCAAATAAGGAAAAATCGTTGCTTTGCTGACAGTATTTCCAGTTTCACAGTTGTATACTTACGAATATAATTTATATGCTTGTAACTTACTTTTTGGACACAATATCAGACTTGAAAGCAGCGCTCGACATGGATTTTTCTTTATGTCGAAAATACAATGGCAATGTATTGCTGCTCGTGCTTCGACTACGATGTGAGGATGTTTGATTATGTTTCGTAATTTCAGCATGTTTTCTGCCGTAGTTTAATATCATTTGTTGTTTTAATCTTTCACGTTGTCTCTCTAGCTCTTGTTGACACATCCATTCTTGCCTACATTTTAGCTTGTCCTCGCCATTTGTCAACCGTATAATTAAACGGTCATCTTTGTTATGTGTAAATCTTGATTCTTCATCACGCCGCAAATTTGTTGATTGTGGTGAATTCATCAATGAGAATAAAATGCCAAGCAAAATTCTAGCTATTGCTATTGCTGAAATATATTAATTCTCTATAATCGCGTAATATTATTTAATATTAAGTAATATTCTAGGCATATTCTTATTAGATTATTATACGTAATATTTTAATAATAGTTCTAGTGGCATCTTTGTTTAAATGTTACTTGGCTCTTTATGTTACTTTTTAATAGGTGTTACATTAGATTATCTTCGGGGACATTTCATCAAATTTACTCCACAAAACCTTTCCATGACACATAATATACATTCCTAACATATATTGCTTTACTATTAATGCAATAAATAACTACCGTTCTTCTATAAAAACTGATATATAGTATGTATGTACAACGCTAATAGGTTAGGAAAATCGTTCCGGTGTGGAAGTAATGACTTTGGTTATGTTCGGCGAACACAACGGTTAAGTGATAGATTTTTCGAATATGGATGTGATTGATACATCTAAAAATATATATTAATCATAAATAATTGTTACTTAACGGTTGTACAATCTTTGTGTTTGCTAAATGTAATCATGGAAAGCAATTGTATAGCTTTCTAGTTATTGTTCAAGAATTTCTAACGTGAATATATTGTACCTAAGCATTCCGGTATTATAACTGCGAATTATTGATAAAAAAATTGATTTGAGTCCTTCGATCAATAATCACACGCGATAGATAATTTTTAAGTACAATGTATTCGAGCACACATCTTTTCAAGCAGGCCAGACTTTTCGCAGGTAGAACGCAAATATAACAGATACAATAGACGCGATATAAGTTGATGCTTCGAACAAAAGCTACATACTACCGATGCTTCGTGCAAAATTTAATCATGAGACTTCAAATTCTTTAAGTTCTTTGCGATTTTTAATAACGTCTTTCGCGTTAGGATTAGGATATTCATTGTTATTTAATATGAATATCATATTATATTGATATTCATTTATTCACTAACCTTAAATTCGTTCCTCCCCTAAGCGCTCGTTGGAGTCTACGGTAGTGCGGAACAGCAAGAAGAAAAAGAAGTGAGGAGCGGGGCGTCCAAACTTGCCTTTGTGAAAATAGACGCAGTTTTTCAGCGCCATCTGCGCTCGGATATGGCTGAACTAAATGGGTGACGTCAGGCGAAGGAGGTGTAAATGAGGACCCTTAAGGTACATTTTCATGGCAGTTTCGAGCGTCGAAGCCAATCAGCAGACAATGGTCTGCTGATTGGGTCGACGCTTGACTCTTGTCTGCTGATTGGCTCCGATGCTTGACGCTACCATGAAATTGTACCTTAAAGCCCGCATCAGACTATGGATTGAAGATTGAAATTAAATTGAAATTTGACCAATCAGTGTGGAATTCACTAACTTTCACTAAACTCGAGTTCAATTGACTTTACACTGATTGGCTAAATTCAATTCAATCTCGAATCCCCGATTCGTAATCCGATACGGGCTTTAAAAGTCTGTGTCACGTCACGTGGCGCGCAACGAACAGATGTTTCAAAAAGCACACGTTCTTGCTGGAAGAACGGATAGAGTGGACAGATATACGAAATGTCACTGCATATATCATGAAGTGACAGCTTCTCCACGGGAAGGACGGCTCCTTCTTCGCCATGTATTTATGAATCACATCGTTGCATTCGTCCATCCCTGAGGTCGAGACACACTTCTCTCTCCGATTTTTTTTACCTGCGAGCGTGAGTACTTCATTCGGGACATACGTAATCTCTGCCATTTTTTATACGTGTATCAAGGTTATTCCATCTTCTTCGTTTGATCATTTCATCGAGTTTCGGGATAATGTTGATGACCACTTTCGCAGGTCACTTCGAGGATTCCCGTTAGTCCGTTATTTCATGCTATCTTCCGTAATCAAACGATCTAACGATCTTATCTAAAGATCTAGCAATCTTACATTATACTGCGATTACAGGCGATAATTAGTTACTAATAGACGGCTTTTCCCATCTTCTGCAGGAAGTATTCCGCTATTATGAGTCACTATCTCGTAAGGAAGTGCGTTGGCACAAATTATCTTTCTCACGTGTTAACACGCACTCAACCTGTAACGTGCGTTCGAAAGTGCCATTACGCTCGCGATATAGAAATAAATCTGAGTAATGGACCGATCAGTATTTTAAAGCAGAAAATTGGCAGAGGTGAGTTGGTGAGCGATGCGCACCAAATGCAGGTGGCACAGATCCTGCAGAGAATCTACCAAGAAACATATGATTACAAGCCGCAGCAATTAAACTTACTGGAGAAATGGTTTGGCAGCAAGAGGAGGGAAGCGCCGAAAGGCTTGTACATTTATGGAGCAGTAGGTGGAGGTAAAACAATGTTGATGGACCTATTTTACAATTGTTGCCAGGTACCTCGGGTTACTGCTTGAATAAGTGCTGCATATGGCAAGTCAGATTGATCGTCTTAATCTTCTGATGTATAATTTGTTTCTAAAATTAATGTGACAAATTAGAGTTACGTGACATTTGCAAGGGCAACGAATGTTGTTAGAAAATATAAGGATTTCCAAAATTATAACTAAAATAAATGGGTAAATAACGGAATTATTTATAATACCCATAAATATAATAATATATATACAAGCAGTGAATAATAAATAAATGGTGAAAATAATTTAAGATCAATCGACAGGAGTTATTGGTAGAATATGTTGGTTAAAAGTGTTATGATTTGCCATGTGTGGTATGTAACAAAGATAAGATTTTTTTTTAGATAGTGTGGCGCACCTTTAAATGAAAATTTCTCGTTTCAGATTGAGAACAAGAAAAGAGTTCACTTTCACTCCTTCATGCTGGATGTGCATAGCAGAGTGCATGAGGTGAAAAAGACGATTGTGCGAGATGTTACCAGCACTAAACTGCAACCTTTCGATCCAATAGCTCCAGTCGCGTCCAGTATCGCCGAGGAGGCTTGGCTACTGTGCTTCGATGAGTTTCAGGTTGACGTTAATAACGTCTGTCATAAAGAAAAAAAATGATACACCCAATCACAAGAGATTTAATGAAAGCGGTCACTCATTTGCAGGTGACGGACATCGCGGATGCCATGATATTAAAGAGATTGTTCGCGGAGCTCTTTGATAACGGCGTGATAGTAGTGGCGACTAGTAACAGATCGCCGGACAATCTGTACAAAAACGGACTACAGAGAGGGAACTTCGTGCCGTTTATCCAGATGCTGAAAAACTATTGCGCCGTCAGTAACTTGGATTCCGGAATAGATTACCGATTGAAGTCGGCGTCCGGCAACAAGAAGATATACTTTATGTACGTAGAAATTAATAAGCATCACATCGCGTGATTATCAGTACCGTATTGATCTTCCTTTGGGCCTTCCTAGGTGTAACGCGTTTTATTGCGGCTTCGCAGAATGTAAATTTGCAAAGTCTAATGCAGTTTTCCTTCTCTTCTTCTCTAAAAAAAAATATTTTTGCTTGTAGATACATATTGTTTTAAGAAATTCTACTTTTGTTTTCATGTGCACTGCAAAATCCATAATATTTCGTCGAGAGTCTTTCAACTTTCAGTCGCCTAGTGTGCCCACAAGAAAGTTACGGTCCTGTTAACGAAGTACATCGATTAACCAGCTCGCGAATGATTTAAGAAAGGGCAAGGATGCGGCGAACGACGTGGACAAAGTCTTCAAGTATCTGTGCTCCATGGAGAACGACGTTGTACGAGCGCGTACGATTTCTATAAGGGGACGCAACGTCGCCTTTCGCAAAACCTGCGGCCAGGTGCTCGACTCGACATTCGAGGAATTGTGTGACAGGGTGAGAGACATTTTTTGATATTATTACGCACACACGCGGATCGAGATCTCGCACGTAAAAAGCGTGTAAAGCATGTCGTTTCTCGGCGCAGCCCCTCGGAGCGAGCGATTATTTGGGATTGAGTCAAGTGTTTCACACGGTCATAATAAAGGACGTGCCGCAGCTGAATTTACGACTAAAGTCACAGGCCAGGCGATTCATCACGCTCATCGACACGCTGTACGATAATAGGGTGAGGCTTTCTGTCTGTATAAATCACGTTCTCTGTTTTTTTCAAACTACAAAGGACGGGAGTCAGAGAGTTAATACGTAAATGATGTGAATAATGTAAGATACGCACAATTACATATATGTGATTTTTTGTAAACCGTAGGTGCGGGTGGTCATGTCAGCGGCTGTGCCACACACGCAACTGTTTTTGCCGGAAAGGGAGTCCGAGTACACCGATGAGAAAAGGATGCTTATGGATGACTTGAAGATCTCTCACGATTCGGTAAGTAGTAGTGAAAGCCAGCGACTCTTTGGCGCTTACATAAACCATTTATAAATCGTAATGATTAATTTGATTTGCATTATCTACAGGAGGATCACAAGGCAAGTATTTTCACCGGGGAAGAGGAACTGTTCGCGTTCGACCGTACAGTATCGCGTCTAGCTGAGATGCAGACTTCACAGTATTGGGAACAGTGGGAACACCATAGATAATGATGTCTTTAATTAGAATGAGTAGATTTATACATAGCATTATATAGGATGAATTTCTTTCGTACGTAACGCATAAGTATTGACAATTTTTACGAGATGATCTCACTTGCAAAGTCATTAAAATTTCCGTCGGATATAGTTCCACCTGGAACGTAAAACGTTTCATACTTTGTCAGTATTTTGCTTCTTTCGTAAATTATTTCTGGAAGTTTGAACTAACATTAAGTTATTCGTACTTATTATGATACGCCTGTAGACACCAATTCTACCTAACAAACGTATGTATTTATGTATATATGTAAAGTTCTAATTACACGTGAGATTTTTTGCAATGTCTGTAAATCGTTCATCTCTTGGTTGCATCGATCACTGCTGACCTTAAACAGTTTCTGACAACCTCTCGCACGAATGTTTATCGAAGGAATACAGCGATGAAGTGAAAATAGTGATAAATCATAACAAGTATAGATTATGACAAGAAATATAGTGGTGCAAGAAAAAAATCTATACTGAATAATGCTGAAGAAACACATTTACAAAAGATATTAATATATTTGGTCACTAACACTGATATGTGATCATGAGTGTTTTCGATTATCTGAGATTTATCGAGCTCCATTGATAGATATAAAAATGTATACATTTTATGTAATTTCTCCAAAAATTTGTTTATGATTTATGTTGAAATTATTAGGCAAAACATCAGTTTTATTTTTTTTTAAATCGACGAATATATATATCAAAAAGTTGTTATATTTTTTTAAGCTTTTATCGCGCATTCTTAATTGATTTTTATCTCCAATCCTAAGCATGCAACTCTCGCTTTAACTCCATATCCGGAGCGTCCTCGCTCTTACCGTAGTAACACGGAGGACGTGCGAAATTTGAAATGAACTTTCAGAACAATCTAACACATTTCTACGTCATAGTTAAGAGTCAACAAAATATTGCAAAATCGTTCTTTATTAACTGTATGTTAAACTTATACAAATAATATTCATATTTATTATGATATTAATTTATATTAAAATAAGAAGTGGTTATATATAATTATTATTTGTGTATATTGTGTATGTATATTATGTATAAAAGTATTTATGCATAATTATGCATCAAGAAGATACCTCATGTATTTTTATTATTTGTTTTGACAATTACGCTTTTTATTTCTGTGTATGCTTCAAGACCGTATTCTCCGAGTTCTCTGCCGTGCCCGGACATTTTGTAGCCGCCAAATGATACTTGAGGTGCCAAAACATTATATGTATTGACCCTGTAAGAATTAATATAGCAACAAATGAGGTTATTTTGAATTTTGTTTTACATTACTCTTTAATATATTCCCGAACAACATACCATACGGTACCAGCACGAAGACTTTGTACTAAATAATTCGCTTTATCGATATCTTTTGTGAAGATTGCAGCGGCTAATCCATAATCGGTATTATTAGCACGTTCAATGACTTCATCCAAATCGCTGAACTTCAAGATTTGCTGAACAGGACCGAATATCTGGGACGGATAAAAACATTACAGGCTTTATAAGTAATTTATTAAAAATTACTCTTACAGAAACTTAATATTATTAATTAACCAAGCAAGAAACATTAAATCAATCTTTTGAAACATTGATTTCACATGGATTTTATAAATAAAAAACATTTATAAAATCCATAAATCTTTCACAAAAATCAGTGTTTTAAAAGATTAATTTACTACTTTCTTGTTACACTAACTTATCAATATTAAATTCTGCAAATATACTTAATGATTAAATATAGTTTTACTACTCACTTCTTCTTTAGCTATAGTCATCTCGTCTTGGACATCCGCAAATACTGTTGGCGCCACAAAATATCCTTCATTGCCGATACGTTCTCCACCTGATACCAAGGTGGCACCTTCGTTCTTACCAGAGTCTATCATAGACATAATTTTATTTAATTGTTCCTGGTCGATCTATTTAAAAATGTGATACATACTTATTACGATTGTGTAAATTAATTGATTTATACAATGTAACATGATATGAATCTAAATATACCTGAGGACCTTGTTCCGTTTTCAAATCAAACGGATCCCCCACGTTCTTAAGTTTCGCGCGACGCACGCTCTTTTCTACGAACTCGTCGTAAATACTATCCTGAACGAAAGTTCTAGATCCTGCGCAACAGCATTGACCCTTGATCACAGATTTACGAGAGATAAGTAGAGAATACATTAAATTGGTGATGCAAAAGCAAACTTGTTTAAAGTGAAAATGTAGAAAGGCCTGTGAGAGCCGAGCGCAGATTGTTGGTGTCGCACCTTTCTATACTTTCATTTGATTGTAAATCTCTGAACCCGATATTATTTAATTTATTCAAAATGAATATAGCATATGTGTAAAACTAATTTAAGTAAATTACCATGTTGAAAAACAATCCGAAGTGTGCTCTTTCTACCGCATAATCTAAATCGGCATCTTTCAAAATGATATTAGGCGATTTTCCGCCTAACTCCAGTGTGATTCTCTTTAAATTATTCGCAGTATTTTGTTGCACCAATTTCCCGACTTCCGTGGAGCCCGTAAATGCAATTTTGTTGACTTTATCATGAGTTACTAATGCGGCACCAGCTTTACCGTAACCAGGAACAACATTAACTACTCCACTGGGAAATCCGGCTTCCTTCGTCAATTGTGCGATGTAAAGTGCCGTTAACGGAGTTTGTTCCGCAGGTTTCAGAACGACAACGTTCCCTGAAATATATTTAAATTTTAATTGCATCAAGAGGTAAAAAAATAAATACAACAAAATTTTGTAAAAAATTTAACGTGCAAATTCATGTTTTTTTTTTACCTGTAGCTAAAGCCGGTCCTAATTTCCAAGCCATCATCAATATTGGAAAATTCCACGGAATAATTTGACCGCACACTCCTACTGGCTCGTGTCTAGTATATGCAAAGATGTTCCCGTCCGCCGGTATAACTTTTCCGTGGTATTTATCAGCCCATCCAGCGTAATATCTCAATGTCTTAATACTAGCAGTCACGTCGAAGTCGCATGCAGTTGAATAAGGCTTGCCATTATTAAAGGTTTCCAAAGACTGAATTTCAAAAAATTTCATAGATATTTTAATCGGCAAGTTTATTTGTATCGCTTGTTATTTATAGACCAATGTAAATTCCATTTCCAATAGTAATTACAGTAAAAATATCTTCCACTAAAATATCATTTATGATGCTGGGAGTGAATAAATTGTAACAGCTAACGAAGGAATTATCAGATTTTCCATGCACCGATTTCGCTTAAATTTCATCGCACAAACAAGTACATATTCCAGAGAATTCAATAATATATACTGTAGTTTTTCAGTAATACAATAGTATCATCAATATTTTGTATATTTTACCGCAAGGTATATACGATCACGTTCCATTAAATCAGCCAATCTGTGCAAAAGAGTTCCTCTTTGAGAAGCATCCATGGTTCTCCACGGGGAACCTAATTTGAAAGCTTTTGAAGCAGCCTGTACCGCTGCATCGATATCTGTACTGTCGCTCTCTTGTACTTCAGCTATCGCTTTGCCCGTAGTGGGATTAAAAGTAGGAAACGTTTTCTTATCCTTGGATTTGTGCCACTCATTATTGATGAAAATCTGTAACAAAACGAAACTCTTATGTTCTATCGCCAAAAATATCAAGAGATACACATTAAGCGAAACTAAATAAAAGATTGTAACGACAGTCTCGGTCTTGCGTTTTCTACTTACATTATTGAACATTAAAAAATTCAAACATTAAAAAATATAGTAAATATATGTATATATATAATATAATATTTAACAAATTCTTTTCTGATAACCTTGACCTTGGTATATCATTAAGAAAAGTATGCTGAATAATATACAAAAAGTTTCAGCCGTCGGACTTTCTTACATAGTTATTAACAAAACAATTAAAAAAAAAGATGATTGTGTGATTAAGAAATTTATCATATTGGTGGAGTGGTGAGAGAGAGAGAGAGAGAGAGAGAGAGAGAGAGAGAGAGAGAGAGAGAGAGAACTGACATTTATTGAAAGATACTATGAATATCTCACAATTATGTGTGAGTTGGGTTAACATTAGGATTAGGTTAAGCTTAAAGCAGGGAGAGGCTGCAAAGGAAAGGAAAGCCTTACTACTCCATGACACAACATGACACAACAGATTTTTTTCAGCAGATTTAAATGTCATGTAAATGTGATTGTTTGCTTAAATATTTTGCCATATTTATATTTATAAATATATTCAATGTGCAGATATGAGTTTATAGATGCAACAGAATATATAAATAAATATCTCAACGATGAGTTGTCGAGGTACAAGCCTTGCATAGGGGCCTTTGCTAATCATTTTGGAATGTATAATTTTAGTATATGATAGAATCATTATTTTAATGAGGCAAAAGATTTAAGCGGAAGATACATTTGTTAATATTAATATTCTGCAATAGAAAACTAAGTTGTCAAGGTACAAGCCTTGCATAGAAGCCTTTGCTAATCTTTTTGGAATGTATAATTTTAGTATATGATAGAATAATTAATTTAGTGAGGCAAAAGATTTAAGCAGAAGATACATTTGTTAATATTAATATTTTGTAATAGAAAACTATATAACATTATAATAATTATATAACTGTTTCCAAATATAAGTAATATTTAATGTTATACTGCCTATTCTACACAACTCTGCTGTATCATAATGGAATAGTAAGGCTTCCCTCTCCCTTACAGCTCCCTCCCTGCTTTAATCTTAACTAAGTATAATTCCTATATAAAAAGTAATATGTATTATGAATAACTCATAACAATCCCAACAGATTTTGCATTCAGTAAACATCAACTAACAATAATATTATAATGTTATAATCTCACTGTGTCACTGTGCAAGATATAAGTTTCAATTATATAAAATATCTAAAATATATATAAATCACTAACAAATCCATATTACACCTGCCATCTATAATTCTGTTGTATTTTCAATGATTTTTAAGATACTGGCAAAATTTGTTCTTATAGTTCGATTAATTGTATCCAAAAAATATATCTTCATTAAAAATTTGTTTAGGAAGAAGGTTACATTTATCTATCTCTTTGTATAACCACTTTCAAATAATTACTCATCCATTTTTACGTACATATATACATAAAAAATACTTACACCTGTATATAAAATTGGCGGATTGATATTTGGTGCTGGCAGGACCATAGATGAGAAATATCGAATTTTTGATATCACACCGAACATAATGTTGTTTATTACGCCGTACCGTAATGAAGCGATAACTCAAAACTGGTCTATCTCTTTTATTATAATCGCTTACTATTTCTCTCTCTCTCTATCATTTTTTCTACGATTGCGTTCGGAAATTTCTATAGAGATATGAGAATAGAGGGAACAAGCCTGTAAGTGGAAGTCATAGAGGCAAAGAGAGAGATGGATGCCGAATGTCCTATCTGTCTCTTTCTAGTCACGCGCTGAGATTGGCTGCCGCGCCAACGACGATATAGCTATACATTTTTGTCCATCCAATTCAAAGAAACTGTCATTGCTAAAATGATCACTGCAAATATATGCTGTTTTCACTTCAAAATACAAAGGTAGTTGAAGTATATTCAATCATTTACGCCTTATATCTATATCCTTCGGTAGCCTACACATTTACATATTTTTTTTAATGTAGGAAAAATTAACATATAATTATTTGAGGTTACGTATTTGTACTTTCTTACGAGTGAAAACTGCGGTTACATCCAGGATAAGACTCCGCCTTGCATTTCAAACAATGCCTCATTTTTAAACAAATCGCGTCCAATTATTATTTTGTTAACGTTCGAATATTTAACGAATTTTAATTCTACACACATGTGCACGCATATTTACAAAACGAAATTTTAGTCTGCTTTCTCCCCTCCTGACGTCGCGTGGTCGTCTTGGCGGCTCATTGTAACAACCAATCACAGCGCTCAACTAGAAAGAGACAGATAGGACANATTTCTCTCTTGACCTCTATCACTTCCATTTACAGGTAGCATATATCCCTTGTTCCCTCTATTCTTATATCTCTATGGAAATTCCACTCTGAGATGCGATTCAAAATTCCATTTTGGTTACTATAGACATCCTATAGACACTATAGGTCTGTTCGTTTTCGTTGCACCGCTGAAATAATGCAATAAGTTAAAGCGAGACAAGTATGTTTTTTCACTTCAACTTATTGCACTAGTTCAGCGGTGCAGCGAAAATGAACAGATCTTATGGTTACTTTAGACCATTTCGAGTTACTAATACGACTAGTTGGTTAGCCACTGGCAGTCTTTTCAAAACGCGAAGCTGGTCGAAGACATATATAGGTCTGTTTTTTTTCGAAATACTTTCTGCACTAGTGCACATCAGTGAAAGGAGTTTACAATAAAGCATTCTTTTTATCGAGAATGACGTCATTATGACGTCATCAACGCTGTTCGTTTCATAGAGGTATTATAGATAGAGGAGGGGAGTCGACTGAAAAGGCGTCGGCTGAATAGAAAGAGAAAGAAGGTGAATTTGACCTCTTCTCTCTCTCGCACATTCTTTTGATTGGCTGCGGCGACACCGCATATACGAGTAACATAATGTATAAAGTGTAAAAAATGTACAATAAGTATACTATGTATGAGAAAAAATCTAATTTTCATGATCATATGTATGTAATGCTTATAATTATACTGTAAAGGAAAGGTGAGCAATGTTCGATAATACAATTTATCGTGTCTTCCACAGCTGGTATAAAAAGAAATTTAAAAAACCTTCATGAATTCTGCAGCAGACTTAGTCTCTTCTTTGTTTAAACTTGATATCATCTCTTGTAAATTAAGTATTTTTTTCTCGCCTCTTGATTTTTTTTTGGAGAGCCTCAATATGATGTTCTTGGCAGACTTTATAACTCAAAAATCGTTGCCACGCTTCGTTTGATACAAAGTCTTCTCTGCACAAATATTTTGTCACATATCCATCCATGAATCTTATTTTTGTTTTTGAACATTCTAAGCTCGAACTGTCTTTCAATCTTTTTTTTTCACAGGAATGTCTTCAATAACATCACTTGCTGAACGTTTTCTAAAAAAATTAATACATAAATGAGTTAAAATTTCATAAATACGTCAAATTTTACATTAAATAAACATCAAAGTATTGTTACCTATTACTGTCTTGGTTTTTAACATCAGCGTGTGAAAATATGGATGCATTTAAATCAGACACTTTCTTTGATTTGTTCAACTTCTTTGTGTACCATCAACAATGAAGAAGAATCGAGTTCAGTTCCAATTTCTTTTAGATTTTCCTCAACTTGCATATTTACACACTCAGACTTTTCTAAGTTTAAGTTGGTCCTTGTATCACAAATAGTTGTGTTAGTCTCCACTTGAATATTTGTTTTGATGGAATCCACTGACTTGTTCACAGGAATAGTACCTGGCACCAATCGTCTGACTCTTGTATAGCCATCTGTTTGATGAAATGCATCATCATTAAAATGATCATCACATATTGTAGCACTTTTTGTGATGGATAAAAGTCTAAATACAGACATCCATTTTTGTCTTTGTATATTGTCACTTGGAAACCTGGATTTTGTGAAATAATTGTATAGTTGATAAACAGAAATACAACCAAAATTTTCTCAAACAATATTAATGTCAGATTTAATTTATACAGAAATACAGAAATACAACCAAAATTTTCTCAAACAATATTAATGTCAGATTTAATTTATGTTGTACGTATTTGTGAAAACTGGTAGAGTTACCAGGAATGTGGAACTTCTTGCAAACTATGGAAGTTATGGGCATCCTGCATGTGTATTATTGAATTTTTATTTTAAAATGTATGATACTAACGTGTAGTTAATATTACCGCTTTGCCCCTTAAAGCTACTGTCTGCTGTCTGCTCTGTTTTTCTTGTTGCACTTATCCCTCTCCCGCCTACCTAAGGTGGAAGTATATCTAGGAAGTATATCTGTCGCCGCAGCCAATCAGAAGAGTGTGCGAGAGAGAGAAAAGGTCAAATTCACCTTCTTTCTCTTTCTATTCAACCGACGCTTCCACTTACACGAGCCCGTATAGTTCACCCCCTCTACCTATAATATCTCTATGGTTCGTTTTCGCAGTGCAACAGCATGTAGTGCAGGCAGTTCAGTTGCACTGAGTCAGGAGGTGGTGTGGTCAGTGCAGTACATATAAGTGTAGCTTGGAAGTGCATGTAAGCGTAATGGAAATTTATACGAAAAGTCTCTGTCAGGTATATGGTTTGCATTATATTGAAATATATGAAATACCTTCTTTATTTCATTAAAAAAAATTGTTAATATTATACTATCACACACACATACACAGCAGAAATGTCCAAACATACCACAAGGATGAATTTAAGATGCAAGATATCTTTATGATTTTATATTTATATTTATTTTATATTTAGTTATTTATTTAAATTTGTGATCGGTAGAGTATATAATATTATAAATTAATAATAAATTTGCTATATTTAGTTGTATATTATACTCTTCGTTTTCATCTACAATGAGTTGCAATAGTGGTTGTATTACAACAAAATCCTCTTCGTCAGAAGAATCAAATAATCACTATTTTACATTATTATGTGAAAAGTGTATGAAATTTAAGCAATGAAACAAAAAAAGACACAAAAGTTATATATTATATGTAAAATCGTATGCAAAAAAATGTTGAACCTATTAGAATTTGCATGCCTTACATATAATATGGAGGATTAATAGATTTTTTGATTCAGCATGGTGTTTTAGCAAATATAATTAAGTGTAGTTAGTGTGATAATGATATAAATATTGATAAAAGAACATTAACGTTCCGATGTTGGAAAAGATATGTTATAAAAAATATACATGAAAAACGTATAAAAAATATACATAGAAAACGTATTTCTAAGCATATGTGATTGTTGGATCGAGCGAGGCTCGACCGCCGGTTGTAGCGCGACAGGCGAGAAAGTCTCGCGCGCGCTGGATCTTCGCCGCTGCAGTTAGCGGCGTCCGCTGCGAGGCGGCGCGGTGCCCGATTGATCAGTCCGCGAGCGAGATAGCTCGCTCGCGGCTATATAGGAGTGTTCCGTAGGAACGTTCGGGGCTCTCAAAGCATTTTAGTTAGTTGCGTGATGCTTAGTAGAGCCTGTTTTTGGAAAGTGAAGACTGTTCTTGTAGGTCATATAACACTCAGCACAATGGAACATTGAGAGTGTGACGTCCGGACTTATCTTGAAACATTAATAATATATTAGTATAGATCGGAGGCCGGACTTGTCTGATTTCAAATATTCACTATGTTAAAATATTCACCAGGTATAGATATTTTATCCCTATGTTACTAGATGTAAGTACGTGCGCATATGTATATTCGCGCATGTTAAATATTAAAATTATAACGCCAAAGAAACGACATGTCGTTAGAGAGTCTTAAAATCGATGGAATCAACTATAGACAAGAGAAACCATTGTAATCTCAATGCGCATAAGGCACCCCGCTGCTAACATAAACAAAACAACAGGAGCATGAAACCTTAAATCCAAACACCACTCAGTACCGACGCGGTGGCATCATACCGATGGAATTAATTTCTTCCATCTCCAACGACTCCATCAGCCAACCAAAAAACGACACTCTCAGCGACAAAGCAACGTATAAAAACGCGCGCATTCGTTGAGAAGGTGATTCTTTTTTCGTAATTAGCTTTTGGTACTTGTGTACTTATATAGTTTGGAATATATTAGTCGTAAAATCCGACTGTTACACAACAATTATTTTAGTCTACCCCTCATTTCTCGAACGTTGCGAAATCGAAATTGTAATCGCGGACTGCACCATTCCGCGCAGCGCCGGAACGCCCGAGACCGAGCCAGGAGAACGAGCGGCTCTGATTTCTCACCAGATTCATCGATCGTTTCGCCAGACTCCGAAGACCCAAGGTAAACTCGGTGAAAAGCAGAGTGACCTAAAAGCGGGAGTCATCACTCTGTTGACCGTCCACGTAAGTCACTGATTTTACTACTTTCAAATTTCCCTATATAGTTATCTATCGTGGACGTAACATCGGCATGGTGGGTTACAGAAGAGCGGCGGTACGACACCGGTCTTACTTACCAACCACGGGGAACACCCAACACATACGCCGACGGCAAGGCGGGTCGTACGAACGAATCCAGGCTTCCTTTGCGTCCGGCACGCCACATCGCAGGCCAGGTGGTGCGTCGCTGGAGGTGGCGCACCACTATGCACCTAAATAAATCAACTTACTTTCGTATTTGCCACAACAATGGAAAAAAAAATGAATTCCATGTCATCTATAAATATTTTTATTTGAAGAAGTTAATCGCCGCGCAGATTAAAGCCGAGTTGAATGAAGTTCATGAAGACTTTGCACCAGCAGCATTGAAAACTGTTTATTTCTGGATAAATGAGTTTAAATATGGCTGTAGAAAATGCACTGAGGAGAACATGAATCGCGCCCCAGACGCCTAATTGAAGTTACCACGGAGAAAATCATTGAAAAAATCCATGGTATCGTGATGGAAGAGACCGCCGAGTGCATGTGCGTGAGATTGCTACTATAGACATCTCAACTTAAATGGGTACACGATATCCTACACGAAAAATTGACTTTGAAAAAGCTGTCTGCGCGATGAATATTGCGATTGTTGACTGTCGATAATAAACGCACTCGAATTGACATTTTAATGCAGTGTTTGGCGATATTTAATCGCAATTCGAAGAATATTTTTTGCGTCGATTCGTCATTGTGGACGAAATTGGGATCCACCATTTCACGTCAGAGTCCAAACAGCAGTCAAAATGGACAATGACTGGTGAAAGTATGTCGAAGACCATTTTGTCGGCTGGGAAGGTGATGTCACTATTTTTTGAGATTCTCAGAGAAACATTATGATTGACCACTTGGAAAAGGGCAAGACAATAACTAATTTCGAAACCCAATTCATACAATTTTACCATTGCAATAGTCGACGTATGGCGATGTACAGCGCATTGTCCTATTGAAAAAACACATTTGCACACCAATCTTAGCTGCTTTTTCTTCAAATTTTTCAAACGATCCAATAATGCCGCATAATAGTCACATATTGAAAAATAAAATTGATTTTATCTAGAAAATGTATTTTACTTGCTTTTTTACTAACTATCAAACTTTTCAAACTATCATCATATGTATCGCGTAATATTTACCTGAATAATTAAATGATGTGTTTTTCATTCCAATTATCGCTTCATGACGAGGTCACTTCGGGGGGTCTGGTTTACAATATATCGACATAATGATGTGGGATAAATGGTTTCAGTTTTTATCGTTTTTATCTTTACTCGAAGTACGAATGATGCAGAACATTAATTAATTATGTACATGTAGTATCATGGTTCCTCGCAGGTCACTGCCGGGTCAGTGTTTATCAGACAACTGGCAGTCTCGGCTTTAATGGAATGTTGCGGTTACATTATCTAATTAATGCGAGCTTTTTTACGATATAGTCTACGACCACTGCATGACGTAACTATACTGTATTTGTTACCTCGTGTTGTCATATTTGTCGTTTCTTCGACACTTCTTATCGCCTCCGTTTCATTTGTCGCGGTATATGAAGCAGTAGCAGTCTAAAGTAATAAAATCACCCGATTTTAAATCGAATTTACGAACGATAATATCGCCTTCTCGCATTTACGAGCTGAAAAAGTGTTGCTTTCTCTTATTTATAACTCTACGGAGCCGCTGGTTACATATTAATTTCTGACTGTCGACCAAAACGTGTTGTTTTCGCTTGTAATTTTTCACACGCGCACATACACGCACGCACGCACGCACGTACGCATGCACATGCACACACACACACATGCACACACACATATATATATATATATATATGCGCAAGCACACGCACACACTCACACACATATATACGAACAAGCAAACACGCGCACCCACACACATACACATATATATATTTCGCGTTTTACTTATACTATATATCATATCCATATTCCAGTAACTGCCATGATATTTAATATATCACGTTATTAATAATTAATAAATTTTAATATAATACTTTGTGTATGCCTGAAGCTTTTAAATTTATAGCAATTTACAAACTTAATCAAATTATGTTAATACTGTCGACGAAAGGTCATACGAAAATATCTATAAAAAAATAATAATAGATTAACATTTATTTATTATCTTAAATATCAAGACAGATCCAAAATATGGCAAAATGTGATAGAGAATACTAAATACGTATCTGAAAGTTTACTTCACTTTATCTATGTTTTCTCTTGCGTTTTTGTCTTTATATTATAAAATAGCTGACACGAATCCAAGAAGTCTCCAGGCTTTTTATCTAGTTGACTTGTAATTGTGAAATTTTACTTAAGTGGAATTTTTTATGAATTAAGGCTAGCTTTAAAACATAGTAGAGTCAATTTTAAACAAAATGTTATATACATTGTTCGTATATGCAAATAGTATTCTAATAGATTACATTTGTATACATGTAAATTCTCATACGCTTCTTCAATTCTTCCAATTTAGAAATATTAACGTATATAACAATTTTCTACTCATATATCTTGTTAAGGTACCTAATTTGTGTTAAGATACCTAATTTGGATGTTTCTATTACATGAACATCGTTATATTTGTAAAAGGCTCGCCAGCCGAAATTAGCCGAACGCTTTGTGAACGGGTATAGTAAAAATTTATTTAAAGAAAGATAGACTTTTACAAAGTCGGCGCATAAATCTAATTAGCTGCCTCTCTTATTTAACATGTTTCATTCTTCGAAGTAGCAGTTTACGCAAATTAAAAACAAATATGTGTGTGTGTATTTTTCTATGTTTGTTATATGGTATGGTATTAAATGCACACGCATATATATGCACGTGTGTTTGTATATATATTGTATTTACATATAAAAGATATTAAAAAAAAGATTCAGGACTTATAAGGTATATATGCTAAACTGACCTGAAAAATCCTTAGAGAGTAAACATACGTCGGAAACTTAATATTGTCAAAGTTATATACAGAAGAAAGTTCCTCTTAATTCAACATATATATTTATTTGACTTATATTTGTTTAACATAAACAACATAATTTAATATTAAATATCATTTAATATGTTACATTGAAACGAAGAAGTTCCATATTATTTTTCTAATGCAGTATTACTTCTTTCAAATAATCTATTGCTTGTAATAATCATTTTAATTTTGGGTGAAAATACAAAAATATGTTATTTGATGTAAAGATATTTATGATTGTGTGAGATTGTATGAGAAACCAAATAATCCTGTTTGTTAAA